AGGAAAACTGGCCCAAGGGATTCCAGCATTTCCCCCCAAAGAAGTCTGGCTAAGGAAGTGGTAGCGGCAGTGATGTGTTCCCTTAATCACTAGCTCCCCACGTTTAGTGCCAACAACTAGGTTTCTGTCTTTGCAGCAAAAGCAGGATCCGGCACCCACCAGCTTCCACATTGGACACAAAGAAGATGCACATTCCCTTTGCAGTCTGGTGGGAGCTGGCGCAGAGTCCTTTGCTATCCCTTTAATTGTATCTGATACAGATGCAAGGCTTGGGGGGGAATGGGGACTATTAAAACAAAGAAGCTATTTTTTTAGCGGACCAAGAAAACGACTCCCGCGCTCCATTGCGGATGCCAAAATGATCACACAAAGGCGCATTTCATTACTGAAATTTCATCACGCCAACGTGATTAAACGCCGGGGGAGCAGGGAGGGGCAAGGAGCCTTGTAAGCTGCAACTCCACAGATTAACCTTTTATTGGCAAGTTTTGCTGTGAGCCCACAGCACATTCCTTGTGGTTTTAATGCTTGCTCTTGTTGACAGCTGGTTATCATATCCCTTTAAGTGCCATTTCACAAAATTGCCCCCTGAAACCACTCCTTAGAACACATACAATTCCCATCCCTACATTCCTTTTGCACCTAAGACGAGAGCACTGTTGGGCAACCTGTGGCGTTAGAACTACATGCGGCCTTCAGCCTAATTGCAAAAGTGATGCAAAACATAATTCATATCTCCAAGAAGACTGATCTGTTCCTCCTTCAGCTACTTGCTGGGTGGAAGAAAAGCAAGAGCAAGCAATGGAATATCAGAAGGAAAGAAGTTGTAGGAAGAGAAGGTGGAAAGATCTGTTGACTTTTGACTTTGACTTGTCTACCAATGGCACATTGTGGGTATCCACAAGAAAACACAATCCTGTTTTTAAAAAAACAAACAAACATCCCTTTCTGTATTACTGTTTCTCAAGGTAACTGGCAACTGGAAATGAAGGATATGCAGTGGGATATTGAAATCTAATCAGAGTCCACTTTGCCAAATAAAGCCCAGTCTTTCATAGCAATCTGGACAGGTGTGGGCTTAATGCATTTGGCAAAAGCCTCACATATCACAAGCAACGCATTCAGCAGGCTGATCAATCAATCAAATTACAGGACAGGAGATTCCACCTGAACTTTAGGAAGAACTTCCTGACTGTGAGAGCTGTTCAATGATGGAACTCTCTGCACCAGATTCTGGTGGAGGATCCTTTTTGGAAGCTTTTAAACAGAGGCTGGATGGCCATCTATCGGGGGTGTTTTGAATGCGATTTTCCTACTTCTTGGCAGGGGGTTGGACTTGATGGCCCATGAGTTCTCTTCCAACTCTGTGATTCTATGATTCAAGGTATTTTACTCAGCCATTGAGTCCCCAGTGGTGCAGTGGGTTAAACCCCAGTGCCAGCAGGACTAAGGACTGACAGGTTACAGCTTCAAATCCGGGGAGAGGCGGATGAGCTCCCTCTATCAGCTCCAGCTCCTCATGCGGGGACATGAGAGAAGCCTCCCACAAGGATGATAAAACATCTAATCATCCGGGCGTTCCCTGGGCAACGTCCTTGCAAACAGCCAATTCTCTCACACCAGAAGCGACTTGCATTTTCTCAGGTTGATACTGACACGACCAAAAAAACAAACAAACTCAACCATTTATTTTCCATGAGAGTGAATGTGTGTGATGTGGTGTGAGGAAAGATTTGGTTATTTGGAATGCACAGCAATTGTTATAACTTGTGAATTTCCACCTCTAAATATGAAACCTGGCTAAAATCTGCCACTCATATTTGCTGGGGACTAGAGACATACCCACCATCATTTTACTTGAGAGACCACCTCACTAGCAATACCTAGGTCCTCCAGCCCAACTTTATGGTCAACTTCAGGTGGAAGATAACTAGTGTCACTTGGGAAATCTAGAGATTTTTAGAAATAACATTTGAAATTAAATTTGCAACTAATCAAACCTACAAATGTGGAAGACCAATGGAATATTGCTGGGATGTAATACACTTGAACATGTTGTTTGCAAGAGGATTCTGTTCCAGTAATGTGGCAAGATTGTGCAGATTTGTTTTTCATGTCAGGAGCGACTTGAGGAACTGGAAGTAGCTTCTGGTGTGAGAGAATTGGCCATCTGCAAGGACGTTGCCCATTGGATGCCTGGATATTTCATGTTTTACCATTCTTGTGGGAGGTTTCTTTCAGTCCCTGCATGGGGAGCTGGAGCTGACAGAGGGAGCTCAACCCACTCTCCCCAGATTCAAACTGCTGACCTATTGGTCAGCAGTCCTGCCAGCACAAGGGTTTAAGCCATTGCAGATAATGACCTATAACACTCCTTGGAGAAATGGTAGAGGCCATAACGAAGTACAAGTGTGTGTTTTTAGCTATCGGATTTTAAAATTAGTCTGCCCTGAGTTTTTAAAGAAGTTGCTTTATCCAGTAAGTCTTCAGGGATATTTGCTGTTGTGATGCATCTCAATTCTAACACCATATTGATATCAAATGTGTAAGTAACATATTCCCTATACAGATTCCAGGTGATATTTCTTGGAATCTATGCACTAGACTAGATGAAGACCAGTAAGATTAAGGCGAGTACCAAATCAAGGATTGCATTACCAATTCCTCATAGGGTTGCTCATCCCTTAAAGGTCAGTTGTAGTCTGGGGAGTACTCCTTGACTTTCCATTGCAACTTCACTGTCATGTTGTGGCTGCATCCAGAAGTATCTCCTACCAACTTCAGCCAACATGCCACTTGTAACTCATCCTTTGGGATAAATATGACCTGGATTAGGCTGGAAACTCCAGGTAGTGCAGAATGTGCCTGTTTACCAACTTGAGGTTTTGTCTAGCAGAGGTCATATTTCTCAAATGCTAGACTGTCTACATTGGCTTTCATTTATTTGCAAACCCAGTTTAAGGTGCTTCCATTGACCTTTTTAGTAGTTATCAAGCTGGATCTGGCATACCTTAAGAAATGCTTACCTTGTGTACCTCAATACACAGAGAGCGGTATATTAAGTCCCTGTATTCTGTCATTTACACTTTTAACAGTTGGCAAGAGCAGAAGCAAACTTTTTTGTTGTTCCAATTCTGAAACTCTACCTTTGGGATTTTTTTCTCAGGGAGCACCAGTTGGGTCTCAATTTGCACAGCTTTTTGTTGCCAATTTACAGTATCCTTAGTCCAATTCTAGATATTTGTTTACTGTACATCTTTATAAAAGATAATATCCTTTATTAATTCTGAAACATGCAGAATAATCAAAGGATGTCTCAAACCTATACCTGTTGATAAACTCTACAAGCTAGCTAGCTAGCGTCCCCCCACCCCCCAATGAGTGACAGGAAGTTGCTGCTGAGAGAAATAAGGTTGAACACTGTGAAAGCCACCCACTGCATGGCTATCAGCCTCCTCCCAGTAGACTCAAATCAAGGAAAAGCTTTAGGAGAACCATCACTCCTTTTAACGTTTCCCCAGTAACAGCAAGAGAATCACTCTGGGCAGCTAAGCCAGGAAATCCCAATTGGATGGCCCCCGAGGGTCTTCCTCTAGGAGCAAACCAAGAATGGGTAACCTGGGAGTCCCTGAACAGACTCAGAAGTGGAGTGGGCAGATCAAAACACAACCTGGCAAAATTGAACTATCTAAAAGAATCCTCCACCTTGTGCGACTGTGGAGCAGAACAAACAACTCCACACCTGTATGTTTGTCCACAATGCCCTGCCTCGTGTACAAAGGAAGAATTGCTTAAAGTTATAGACAATGCGGTCACTGTTGCCCGGTTTTGGTAAAAAATTATTTAGACACTTGTGCTCCTTCTATTTTTTTTATACTTAATGTATGTAATGTTTTTGATACAAAATAAATAAATCCTTTATTATTTTTAAATTTGTTATGGTTGTTTGGGTAGTCACGTCTTATATCAATAAACACACTACTTTTTTCAATGTAAAAGGCATGTATGGTTTCCAGTTCGAGTATGGTATCTAACATTGTTCACATTACAGCAGAAAAAAAGAGCTGAAGAATTGTGATAGGCCATAAGGTGCCTCAAGATCTCTCTGCAACAAACTAAAAGATCTACCAAAGAAAGAGCTTTTATGTTTTAAATATTGCTGGTGCATGTTTGTACAATGCTCTTCTTTATTTTGTCTCTTATACAATACACTTTCCTTGATACAGTGCGATTCACTATAATAAAAGTTTTAAGAACCACCCTTCCTGCTGCGTAAGGAGCACTGTAGTACTTTGGAATGAAAAGGCCAAATATATTTTGAGCAAGGCTGACACTGAGGTGGTGGGAAAGAGGTGCACTGATACCTGCCTTCTAGCATAGAGGATACCCATGCATGTCAGGCAAAGTCTCACTAGGTAGCGACCCATCTAAGCAACTGTATTTCCTGCTGCGCTACAACCACTGTAAGGGGATCCTGTTGACTGATAAGAAGCCAGGGCAGGAGCAGGGAACAATGGGAGATTTGATGAGAGTCGCTCTGTGATACTCCTGAGAAGCCCACAGAGCCAGCCTTGATCAGAGGGGAAATTGGGGGGTTTCCAAGGCAACTTGCTCATGGGCACAATGGCATGTCTGTCTGCTGGCGGGCAACAGAAATGTCTTCGCTACTACAGGCCCCTGGAAAAGGCTGCAAGTCAGAGGGGGGTGAGGAAGGCGTCTCTCAATCGCCTTAGAAGGCATCTGGAAGCCTGGCAGCTGCAGGATCACTTTAAAATCATTTAGGTATACCATGATGGTCACAGACAAATATAGAGGAAGCTGTTCTTCTCTCCCCACCATAGGTTACAGATGCAGCGTTTAAATGGCACTTTATGTTGGTCAGTTAAGGCAGCCACAGATTAAATGCCACAAGAAATGCAGGCTGCGTTGTAATAGGCAGCTACAAGACTAAAACAGAAAAAGGAAGACTATGCCCTTCCCTCAGAATTAACATCCAAGAATCAACGTATAGTGGAATTTTATTATTTATTTACACAAAAATAAAATATTTTTAGAATCTGCAGTAAAGGTGAGGTTGGAGCACAGATCAATCTGTGATAATTAGTTCATCTACACCCCAATCTTCGTAGCTTCCATCTGGCAGGTACCTGCGGATAATTATGGGAATCTTCCGAGCTCTGCAAGGAGAAAAGGCAAACAGAAGAGGTCAAGTGTTTATCATGTCATAGAGCAGTGGTTTGCAACCTGTGGGTACCCAGATGTTTTGGCCTTCAACTCCCAGAAATCCTAACAGCTGGTAAACTGGCTGGGATTTCTGGGAGTTGTAGGTCAAAACATCTGGGGACCCACAGGTTGAGAACCACTGTTGTGGAGGCCTTGGTCCAGAGGTACACAGGTAAGTAGAACAACACTGAACACTTATAAAAAACCTCTTACATACAGTGTTTCCCTCTCCTCTAAAGCTGAGCAGGGGATACTCTGTGCTAACTAGTCCTGAATCATGACCAAAGGAAAAGCAGTGATCAGGGAAAGGAAAGAACTGAAAACTATAACACCCTTTGTCACATAGTATTTAAAACAGTCACACACTTAACAAATCACAGAAGCAACCCCAACTCTCAGTAAAATACTATAGCCATTAGAATCTTTTGGAGACGTGGACGAAATTCAAATCCACTTTAATCTAAATACGACTTTTTAGGTCAACAATGTAATTATCCAGCTTGGACTTCGTCCAGGACATTAGGTTTATAATCTTGCAGCACATGAAAAGTAAAAAGGAGGAAATCTCTAAAAATTACAAGAATTTGTTACAGTGGCCCAAGGCTGTATACAAAATGTCATCTCTGCCAGGCAGTCTCCTTTCATGATCTCCTATTGGAGGCATTAGGGAATGACTGTCAGCTTCCATATGACTTGAACACTAAAACAAGTTTGGATAATGCAGATCTTGGACTATGCAAACTTGCTTCCATGAAGTTACGCAGACATGAATGTACAAATGTTCAATTATATGGAAAATGAGAGCTAGAGCTCATTTTAGGAAGAAAGCCAAACCCTAATGAAGGAAGGAAGGATGTGTACAAATGCAAAGGAACAGGAACTGACTTTTTGAGTGTGCTTCTATTTCTTGTCATTTCTGCTGTAATGCATGACATTAATCTCACAAATCTAGTCATTCTATAGAAATGCAATTTTCTGAAAGTCTTGTCAAAACCGATGAATAAGGCAGATATTGGCACTGAGACTTTCAAATCAATTAAGCGTTAAATTCTAAATACAGATCAGTGCTAGCCCTGTTGGTTTCACAGTGGCAGAAACAGAAACTACAGAAAAGCCAAACATTTACTAGTTAGATTTCTGAACAAAAAAGACAACAGAATAGCCATACAGAATTTTGTATAAAAACCTAAAAAGATTTATAGATGTAACAATATCCTGTTAGCTATTCCTTCATTTTAAATATGCAAGTGTAATTACAAGATAGAATCGATATAGCGTGATTCATTATAGTACAAGCTCTCTATTGGAACTTAAACTTTAGTTGTTCCACTTTTTTGTAGAGTCAACATGTAAGAGAGGTGGTGAGTGCATTAGCTCCCCTCCACTCCTGCCCTTGGGTGTATCTATACTGTAGAATTAAAGCATTTTGACACCACTTTAAATGCCATGGCTCAATGGTATGGAGCCCTAGAAGTTGTAGTTGGTGAGGCACCATCAATCTGACAGAAATATGTTAAAGCAGCCGTATCAATCTGTGGGTCCCTAGATGTTTTGGCCTTCAACTCCCAGAAATCCTAACAGCTGGTAAACTGACTGGGATTTCTGGGAGTTGTAGGCAAAAACACCTGTGGACCCAAAGGTTGAGAACCACTGCATTAAAGGCCTTGTACAACTACAGTTCCCATGATTCCATAAAAGGAAGTAATGGCAGTTAAAGTGGTATCAAATTGTTAATTGCGAACACTGTGAACCGCCCTAAATCCCCTTCGGGATTGAGAAGGGCGGTATATAAATACCACAAATAATAATAATAATAATAATAATAATAATAATAATAATAATAATAATAATACAATATAGACGCATTGCTTGACATTCTTCATGAATCGGGAGCAAACATTTGGAGTGGGGGATCTTCCCTAATAGTGGACATTTTCCAAGAAATTAAGAAAAACCAAGGTTTTATAGAATTTAGGAGCCTATATGGGAGGAGAGCAATGTCCAGTCTCGATAAAATAGTGAAGAGACATCAGACTGGCAACAAAGATCCGCCTAGTCAAAGCCATGGTATTCCCTGTAGTAACCTACGGATGTGAGAGCTGGACCTTAGGGAAGGCTGAGCGAAGGAAGATCGATGCTTTTGAGCTGTGGTGTTGAGGAAAGTGCTGAGAGTGCCTTGGACTGCGAGAAGATCCAACCAGTCCATCCTCCAGGAAATAAAGCCCGACTGCTCACTGGAGGGAAAGATACTAGAGACAAAGTTGAAGTACGTTTGGCCACATCATGAGGAGACAGGAAAGCCTAGAGAAGACAATTATGCTGGGGAAAGTGGAAGGCAAAGGAAGAGGGGCCGACCAAGGGCAAGATGGATGGATGGCATCCTTGAAGTGACTGGACTGACCTTGAGGGAGCTGGGGGTGGTAACGGCCGACAGGGAGCTCTGGCGTGGGCTGGTCCGTGAGGTCACGAAGAGTCGGAGACGACTGAACGAATGAACAACAACAACAACATATGGGTAGATGTTATCCTTTCAACAATGGGAGGGAATAGGGATGGTGACCAGCAGGGCAGGGTGAATGCACAAATCCTTGATCTGGTTCCCAGCATGTTGATTTCACACACAGACAGAAAAAGGTAAAGAGTGAGTGATATTCTGTGACAAATCATTCAAATGGCTCCAACTTACTTGAGCTCTTTCATTGCAATCAGCAACGGGTCTGTCTCTCCCTCCAGCTCTACCATCACTGGGGCACACATGCTGAGTAGGAAGAAAACCATTCTATTAATTTTAGGCAGTTACTGGAAAGCTTCACCCTTAGGCTTTCCCCTGACTTTTTATTATCCTACTTTCTCATTTTTCAGCTGACCCAGTTTTTTCATATGTATGCTTGTTGTCATTTCAATTGATGCAATGTAAAACTTTTAGAATTTTGTTTTATTGTTTTATTTAAACTGAATAAAGGTAAATGTAAATTAAAAACATCACTGCAACTATGTACAAAGACAAAAAGCTATGGCGTAGTCATGCAGCAAGAATGAGAGGCAATTAGATCAGGCAAACACCACACTGACATCCATGTGATATGAAAAAGAATTGATTAAAACTATTTCTGTTTTGCCTCCCAGCCCACAAAGGTCTCCCCAGGCGATGAACACATTAAAAAGTTTTTAAAACATATAAAAATACTCTTTAAAGACTTGGAAAATTAGTATAAAAATAATCCTAGAATCCAGATTTGAAGCAGTTACAACAAATTTAAACTCTGAATGTCATGAGGAACAGCACTACTTTGGCTACCCACTGGAAGCATATAAGGAACAAAACGGATGTCTACACCACTGCTTCTTAAACTGTAGGCCCTGACCTCAAATAGGGCTATCTTACCTCGATGTTGGGGTCCCAAAAAACTGGCAACAGTAAAAGATTTCTGAATATTGCCCATTTACCCAAATCTGTTAGCAGTGTTCACGCTGGACTCTGGGGGAAATGCTTCAACTGTACCCCACAAAAAAAGAAAACCAGACTGCTTAGCAAGCTTTGCAAATGCTGATTATCATTAAATTTTTGATTTTTCTCCCTATATTATATACCTATATACCTGGGGTCATATAAAAATTTCTCAGGTGGAAAAGAGTCACCAGTGGAAAAGGTTTAAGACACCCTGGTCTATTCCTTGCACAGCAGACACAGAACTATACAGAACCATGGGATATTTAAATATTCACACCATTCAAGGCATATGTACATTTTTAAACAGGGTACCTTTTTCATCAGGTGAGATTTAAGAGTTTAAAATAAATAAACCAAGTGGTGTAATTCTCAAACAAGCACAGCATTCTTTTATATTTATTTTAAAAACAAACTCAATATTCTAACAGATGCCAGCAAACAAGTGTCAGTTGTCTTATCAAAGCAATGGGATTTCTACTAACTTCGGGGAGGAATGTGGCTCAACGCTTGCCATGTTGTTTTTAATTTTTGCAGGGTCAAAGCTCCTGTTAAGGCACAGATACAGCTCAAGGAGTGGCACTATATTGATTCTGCGTGTTTTCTTAAAGCTCTAGATGGAAGATACTGCTAAGCACTGAATAAGGATACTTATTTCCATTTTCTCTGACCAATGTTTCAAAATGCCCAATTTTAAGCCAAGAAAACCAGTCTTTCCCCTCCAGTCTCTTCAAAATGGTGGTTGGGGGGGACGGGATGACTTCAGATACTCCCAAGTTTGAAGGAGCGTAAGTGGAATCATGTTTTCAGTACTTTATGTCATGGGTTCTTTATCAACTTTCCCTACTGAACTGGAAGAATTATGATTTCATACACTCAAAGAGAACCCCAGTTGCAAGTCTTAACAGGAGCTCCTATCTAATACAGATATGCCAGAGACATCAGGCCTTTTAAATATTAAATTAGCATATATACCCACTGTCGCCCTGCTTCCATTTCTCCTCTTTCCCTCCCCTCATGCCTTTTCCCTTTGTTTCTTCCTTCCTTTTTCTCTTTCCTTCCACTCCCACCCTCCCTTCTTTTTTCCTTCCTTCTTCCCCCTCCCTTTCCTCCCTTCTCCAATTCTTAGAGGGCCTACATCACAATATCTCCATGGCAACGTGGCACTCTTTGTGGCTCTTTCCTCCCTCCCCTTCATACATGTTATCTTTTTTTTTTACCAGTGTCATCATAGAGGGTCACTTCACCTAGCTACAGTCAATTTTTCACCTAGCAACAGGCTTTGACTTTTATATATGTAGATTGTATTATCAGGAGGAAAGTATTAATACTCTAAAGTCCACATCACATCTATCACTTATTTTAAAATGAATGGATGAAAAAATAAACTGTTTTATAAAACTATGCTCACACAAAAACATATCCAGATATTGATAAAATCGTTTACCTACTGTGATTATAGAGGCCTGTACTAACAACTAATGCTTATTTGCTTTGAATTTCACCACTTTAAGAAGTTCTAATCATAGCTTTGAAAAAAGCTTATACTCATATTTACTCAGGTCTAATGAGCCATGAAATCTAATGCGCACCTCAATTTTCAAAACCCTGACACCAAAAAAAAGTACCTGCTGGCAAATTTATTTATTTATTTATCACACTTGTATCCCGCCTTTCTCAACCCCGAATGGGACTCAAGGTAATGCGCAATGACAAAAAGTGTGCATTACAGTGGCTACATACTTATAATTCCTTCTTTAAAGACAAAAGTGTTCGAACACCAAAACTTTCAGCCATGAAAAAAAATAACATTGGGGTGCATCTGTGCTGTAGAATAAATCCATCCACTTTAACTCCCCTGGATGGAGCCCCCGGTGGCGCAGTGGGTTAAACCCCTGTGCCGGCAGGGCTGAAGACTGACAGGCCGCAGGTTTGAATCTGAGGAGAGGCAGATGAGCTCCCTCTATCAGCTCCAGCTTGTCATGCAGGGACATGAGAGAAGCCTCCCACAAGGATGATAAAAACATCAAATCATCCAGGCGTTCCCCTGGATAATGTCCTTGCAGATGGCCAATTCTCTTACACCAGAAGCGACTTGCAGTTTCTCAAGTCACTCCTGACACGACAAAAAACAAAACAAAAACAAAACCTCCCCTGGCTCAATGCTATGGGGTCATGGGGGGCTGTTGTTTGGGATCATGGGCACTGGCAAAGAATGTTGATGCCTCACCAAACTACAAATCCGACACTGCATAGCACTGAGCCATGCAATTCAATTAGAGATCAGGTCGCTCAAAGAGGGGCTCCAGGTGCTCCTGAAGTAGCTTCCCCTTTGCTTTGGCTGAGCACTAAGATTACCATATCACACGAATCTAATGCGCACCCTAATTTTGGGAATGTAATTTAGCCAAAAAAGGATAAGCATTAGATCAGAGCAAATAAGGTGTATGTCATGTGTGTGAAGCTACTAGAGTTACTATCAGTCTATTTTGTAGTCATAGAAATATGAGTGAGTATACAGCCAAAGATTTTTAACATTTTTCTCCTTGCTAATTTGAAGCATGCGTACATAACAACTTTTTAAATTCTATGAATAATCTCAGAAACTGGAATTTTCTGGCAAGCTAGAATAAGCAATAACAGAGCTAATGTGAAGTTTTGCAAGACTGTATGAAAAACTTCCAAGGTCGCAAGAGTTACAGCTGATGAAAGCCACTGTCCACTGCCATTTATGCGTATCTTGCTTCTTCAGGTAATCTACTGCATGTGCAGCTGGGCACACATGAGTTTGATGAACTTTTCCATATAATCTGAAATCAGGTATGCGTGATACATTGAGGGAAAGCATAGAACTCTCCAGGACATAATCAAAGCCATACTGTTCAGTCTGAACAAATGGAAAAGCAACTTTTGTAAGGGAAGAAAGAAAAGATGAAATCAGTACCAGGTGTGGCACCGAGATGGAAGCATCTCAACATATAGAGAAGAACGTTTGCAGTATCTGTTAACTCCATATACAGGCCAAGTACTTACGCTATCTGGAGTGCACGGGTACCAAGAACTCTGGCTCTCTCATATTTGGTCATGTAAGGGGTAGTGATCCTCTTCTGGTTTGCCTGCTGCCGTTCTCCAGATGGCAGAATTTCCACATTTTCCTGACCCTCCTGTAGAACAATAAAGGGAACTGTTACTTACATCAACAGCATTATAATATAAGTAAGCCATTGGATTGCTTGAAAATTAAACTCTAACCCTACAGATAATTTAAATAAAGGACATTAAATAAAACAATGAAAGACGGATAAATATAGTTCTGATTAAATATGTGGTCAAGCTTTAGCAGTAATCTAGAAATGTCTACTTTTATGTAACAGTGCATGACATGTTTCCTATCCACTTTCTAATACTATCACCCTATGAGTTTTGGAGTTGGCAAGAATGAGTATTTACTAAACCCATCCAGTCTCGTGCTGAAGACATGGATGTATTTCCTATTTTTTGTCTATTCCTTCTTCCTCAGTTCAAATATATCCTGGTAAAAATGTGTACATGTGCAGGCATACATTTTAAAGAAAATTCAGAATACTGTAAGTAACTGCTGTGATTTTATAGACATTGATATTCCATATTCTGAAGTTACTTACCTCCTCAGCATTTTCTAGATCATCCAGTCCTTCATCTTCTTCCACATCATCAAAATCATCTCCATCAAAACTGGTGGGTGAAAAATGTAAAACTTTCAACAGGCCAAATCCCACTATAGTCTCAAGTACTTTCCTGCTAATTTTCAAAAGCAGCATCTCCTTAATACCCCACCATTTATAGTGTTCAGCCTTCTCCAACAGCAAAACATTTATATGTCTTCTTAATGGGGTGTGGGGAAAGAGACCTGTGGGTTGCATGCAACACCTTATTGAATGGTCTTATTGAAATTGTGGGAAAAGGGAATTCTAACCAGTTACATGGAGCAAGAGTACAAAAATTGGAAGAATGATGACAATATTGATCACACCTCCATCATGCCTAGGCCTATTAGCAAATGAAAGGCCCTCACCTCCATCCCAACTGTGGTCTTGAGGGGAGAAAGAAATAAGGCAGTACCTGATGAACATAATCCCATCACTCACTGCCTTTCCCTTTTTGTTGTGTGTTGTGACTTAATCAGAGTGCAGACCTGAGGGTTTGCTTGTTGTTCTTTTACTTGTAAAGCACTGTTTACAGTTCTAATAAATTTAATTTATATCCTGCCCCATCTCCTCGGAGACTCGGGGCAGCTTACAAGACAACAGTGCAAAACAAAACGCATAGAATATACAACATAAATTAGCCTAAGTCAATAAAAATAAACACCAGGTGAAATGGCCTTTAAAAATAACAATATTTATAACAATGATAGTAACAGTAACATTTGACACAAAGTGGTGCCACTCACCTAGAATACAGATGTAAGGTAAGAAAGGAATAATTAAAGGATAATATTATATGTGGTTTTCCCAACAATTGGTAAGTCAAATTTGAAGGTAGGGAATATACATAGAGGTTGAGTATGAGTAACAAGGGTGCCTTTTGATACTGTTCAGGTTTTGTTTTGAGTTTTTTTGCTTATTTTGTTGCAATTTGTGCTATTATATATCTTCTATATTTTCAGTTATATGTGTGACCCCAAGTTACAAACAAGATAGGCTCTGTAGGTTTGTTCTTAAGCTGAATTTGTATTTAAGTCGGAACAGATACATTTTTAAAGTTTAACTCCAGCCATAAATGAATGAATAAATAAGCTTTGGATAGCATAGGGAATGGTTAACATATTGTGTTGTTTGTTTTCCTGTCTGTGCCCCTATTAAGAAGATTTCACCTCACATTCTGTCCCTGTGATAAATGAAGTGTGAAAAATTGGGCTTGTTCTGGAAACAAGAATTGGTGATAAATATACCTTTCCCCCATGATGCTCTTTCAGGAGTGAATTTACCTTCTGAGAGGTAGATTTCTCTCAGTTCCTGTTGTCTCACCCCTGTTCTTAAGTATGAGTCATCTGTAAGCCATGTTTGTAACTCAGGGACTGCCTGTATTTAAAATAGTGCACACACAACCTTTGTGTGTGCATAAAAAGACTCACTACCAGCAGTCCTTTTGAGTCCACTTTAACTGACATGGGGCCCTTCCAGGCAAGCTCTATATCCCAGAATGTGATATAGGTTTTCTACTTTAAACTGGATTATATGAGTTCATACTGCCAGATGACCTGAGATAAACCAAAACCCTGGGATCAGATCCTGGGCTATAGGGCCTGTCTGGAAGGGCACCTTGGTTGCATCTTATGCAGTTTGATGAAGCACCTAATCCCCTGCCCTCTCTCCATTACTGCAGATGGCACTTATTTTATTTCAATGTTTACACCCTGGCCATGGTGCCAGTAATTTACTGCCACAGTTAGAGGATCGCAGCTTGACTGAATCTGAATTTCATATGTACACGTGTTTTATTTTATTGTATTTTATAGTGTTCACTTTTATGTTTATTTTTAGGCACTTTGTGCCATCTGTAAGTGGCCCTGAGTCTCTTCGGGGAGATGGTGGCATGATATAAGAATAAAGTTGTCGTTATTATTATTATTATGAAGGATTCCAGCCTTAGGGTGCATCCACGCTGTAGAAGCAATGCACTTTGTAATAGCCATGGCTCAGAGCTATGGAATCCTGGGACTAGCCACTTCGTCACACTAGAGAAAAAAAAATCCACTTAAAATCCAGTTTCTTCCTCCTGCAGAATTCTGGGATTTGTAGTTTAGTGAGACTGTTAAAGTCCCTAAATTCTGCAGAAGGCAGAAACTGGATTTTATCTCTAGTATGATGAGGTCTATGTTCAGTGCCTTGAACAGCTTCCTTAAAACTAGAAGTAGATCTACCAATCTTGCTCCTATTTTATCTCATCACAGTTTTTAAATGGTTTTATCCTGTACATGTGGCCCGCCCACTGTTATTGTTATTGTGTTTATTAGAATGTTATTTTAAGACTGCTTTTTTCTTTATTACTGTTAATGTACTTTGATGATGATGTTGTTGTTTGTTGTTTATGTTTTGATTTTATTGCTGTAATATGTTGTCTGGGCTTGGCCCCATGTAAGCCACTCCGAGTCCCCATTGGGGAGATGGTGGTGGGGTATAAATGAAGTTTATTATTATTAATTATTATTATTACTGGCATGGAAGCCACCAGCCACAACTTCATGCATGTCAGCACTTAAAAGGGTCCACTGTAGCCATGACACAGGCTGATCTGGTGGCCTTTGGTTGTAGCTTTAAAGGAAAAAAAAAAGGAAGAATGAACACATGCTTGCCTCCACACTGTAGAACAGGTATGGGCAAACTTGGGCCCTTCAGGTGTTTTGGACTCCACAATTCCTTAAGCGGCTGAGAGAGGAAAAGGAAGGGGCCTGAGGCTGTTAGGAATTGTGGGAGAGAAAGTCCAAAACACATGGAGGGCCCATGTTTGCCCACGCCTGCTGAATGCACCACTAACTGTCGTTGCTCGGTGCTAGGGAATCCTGGGACTTATACCAGGACTTCGGGCAATTAGGTTAAAGGACAATTGATAATGTTTGACTATGGCTTGGAAGTGGATTTGGATAAGTTAAGCAGAGTAATCATTAGTATATGGCTAGATAAATAGCCACCAGACTGGCAATAGCTAAATGGATTGTAAATATACTGTTTGATCTTTATTTATTAATGTTCATGTTTTTAATTGTTATATTTGCTATTTTGTATTTTATGATGCGGCATTGAATTATTGCCAATTGGAAGCTGCCCCGAGTTTTGAGGCAACCAAAGTAGCACTTAAGCAACATATTCTGGATATTTAATATCAACAGAATCCTGGCCAAATTTCATAAAAAGCAACAGAATACACACTAGCAAACTATATTAACTCTTAACTCAAAATGCTCTTATCTCAAAGCTCTTCTCAAAGGGGTTGAGAAGAGCGGGGTAAAAATGTTCGAAATAAATAAATAACAAGGACTTTGGCTCTATCTGCCAAAGAGACCTGGTGCCTCACCTAACTACAACTCTCCAGACTCCGTAGCACTGGGCAGTGGCGTGCTGTACTAATTCTGCAGTGTGGAATTAAATTATAAAATTATAATTTTATATAAATATAAATAGCAAAAATGTCATAGGTTTTAGAGAGAAGAGCATGGGAGAACTGAGTGTATTTCATTCTGTGTGCCAAGTTTGGTTCAATTCCATAGTTGGCGGAATTCAGAATGCTCTTTGATTATAGGTGAACTATAAATCCCAGCAACTACACCCCTCCTCACACTGAGGCCCTCCCGCTGTTTGGGCCTCTAACTCCCCGAATTCCTGGCTACTGAACAAGCTGGAGAGGGTTTCTGGGAGTTGGAGGGCCACAGTGTGAGAGCCGGCTCTCAGTCAACTGCAAATCCCAGGGCCGGACCCAGCTCTCATACTACCACCGGTGGCAGGATCCCGGGGCCCTCGCTTTCCTCCCTTCCTCACCGCCAACACAGACACAGAGGCTCGCTCGCTTACTTATCCTCGTTGTCGGACATGTTGACACGATGAGGCAAGGCGCGCGCACCACCGACTCCTGCTTAAGCTAGCATCTTCCGCGCGCGGGACTACTTCCGGCGCCGGCCTTGACGTCAGCGGAAGCGGGAGAGGGAGCCATGGTGACAGGAGCCGCCGGCTCGGGTAAGCGTGAGGGGGAAGCGGCCAAGAGCGCGCTCCTTAGGCCAGTGGTTCTCAACCTTCCTCCACCCCTTAATACAGTACCTCATGTTGTGGTGACCCTCAACCATAACATTATTGTTGTTGCCACTTCATAACTGTAATTTTGCTCCTGTTACGAATCGTCATGTAAATATCTGATATGCAGGATGTATTTTCATTCACTGGGCCAAATTTGGCACAAATACCTGATACAGCCAAATATGAATACTGGTGGGATTTTTTTTTTTGGGGGGGGGGGATTGATTTTGTCATTTGGGAGTTGTAGTTGGTGAGATTTATAGTTCACCTACCATCAAGGAACATTCTGAACTCCACCAACGATGGAATTCAACCAATCTTGGTGCACAGAACTCCCATGACCAGAAAATACTGGAAGGGCTTGGTGGGCACCGACCTTGAGTTTTGGGAGTTGTAGTTCACCTACATCCAAAGAGTACTGTGGACTCAAACAATGATGGATCTGGAGCAAACTTGGCACAAATACTCAATATGCCCAAATGTGAACATTGGTGGACTTTGGGGAAACTAGACCTTGACCTTTGGGAGTTATAGTTGCTGGGATTTATAGTCACTTCACTTACTTCACTTCACTTAGACGATTCCTCGTAGTCCGAGGATGATGGTCCTCCAAGTTTGGTGTCCTGGCAATGGGTCCGTAGGTGACTGTGGAGTCCTATTCTTGATCTGCATCTTCTCCCACAGTGAGGGCATTTGTTTCCAGGTGGAAGGCGGTCTCGGTCGGGGTTGGCTTGACATGCCTTCCTCTTGGCACGTTTTTCTCTTTCACCCTCCATTTGCGCCTCTTCAAATTCTGCAACACTGCTGGTCACAGCTGACCTCCAACTGGAGCACTCAAGGGCCAGGGCTTCCCAATTCTCAGTGTCTATGCCAGAGTTTTTGAGGTTGGCTTTGAGCCCATCTTTAAATCTCTTTTCCTGTCCACCAACATTCCGTTTTCCGTTCGGAGTAGAGCAGCTGCTTTGAGAGATGGTGGTCGGGCATCCGGACAACGTGGCCGGTCCAGCGGAGTTGATAGTGGAGGACCATCGCTTCAATGCTGGTGGTCTTTGCTTCTTCCAGTACGCTGACGTTTGTCCGCCTGTCTTCCCAAGAGATTGATTTATAGTTCACCTTAGGCAGAAGACATGTGGTCACCTATCGCCACATCTTGAGATCTCGAGATTTGAAAATAACAATAAAGTCCCACAAAACTGGGACAGGGATTAGGCTGTCGTGGGGGGCTAATAAAGTATGGAGATTATACAGTTAAGTTGTGGGGTGATTGTCTCTCCTCTTCACTTTACACAGGTTTCCTTGCTTTACTCTTCCGATTTGGACTTCAATTCCCAGAAGCCCCGGCCATCTTGGCCAGCAGCGTGGAATTCTGGGAGTAGAAGTCCAAAACATCTAGAAGACCATCTTTTGGGAAACACCAAGGGCCCTTCTACACAGCCAGATAACCCAGAATATCAAGGCAGAAAATACTGCAATGCCTTCTTTGAACTGGGTTACACTGCCATAGAATCTGGTTCAGTGTTGATTTTATACAGCAGTGTGGAAGGGGCCTGAAACGAAAGGTTCTTGCTTTCCCATATTCTTCCATTTTGTCAAAGAAATGACAAAATCAAATGAGGTTCATTCTACACTGCCATATAATCCAGATTATTAAATCAGGTAATCCACATAATCTGCTTGGAAGTGGATTGTAGGTGTCTACACTGCCATATAGGATTAAGTACATCTATATGGTGATGTACTTAATTAAGTACATCTGTCGGTGATCCGGAAGCTCAAGTTGGTACAAAATGCAGCTGCTCGGCTTCTTGCGGAAATTCCAATGAGATGCCACATAACACCAATCTTACTACAGCTGCATTGGTTACCAAGTTGAGCACCGGATCACTTTCAAAGTGATGGTACTCACCTTTAAGGCCTTGTATGGTCTGGGGGCGATGTACCTGAGAGACCGCCTCACCCCCTACCAACCCCAGAGATCCCTCCATTCTGAGGACCAAGATCTATTTGAAATTCCCAGTGTCAAGACCTTGCGTCTAACAGCAACCAGACGCAGAGCCTTCACAGCAGTGGCACCATCACTCTGGAATACTTTGCCACCTGAAGTCCGTGCCTTGTGGGACTTACCAGCTTTCCGCAGGGCATGTAAGACATACCTGTTTCGACAGGCTTTTAATGTTTGATATTGCTGTTTTTAAATTGTTTTAAATTGTTTTTAAATTGTGTTAGATTTTAGCCATTCTTGTAAGCCGCTCCGAGCCCCAGGGGAGTGGCGGCATATAAGTTCAAATAATAGAATAAATAAATAAATAAATAAATATGCACCAGAGGTCCACAAACTTTTTAAACAGAGGGCCAGGTCATAGTCCCTCAAACTGTTGGAGGGCTGGATTATAATTTGGAAAAAAAATGAATTCCTTTGCATACTGCACATTTCTTATAAGTGCAAACAACACTTAAAAATAATACAATAATTAAAGCGAGGAACAATTTTAACAAATATAAACTTATTAATATTTCAATGAAAAGTGTGGGCCTACTTTTGGCCCATGAGATAGGGTTGTTGTTGTTGTTGTTGTTGTTGTTGTTGTGTGCTTTCAAGTCATTTCAGACTTAGGTTGACCCCAAGCAAGGGCCGGGTAAATGACCTTGGAGGGTCGTATCCAGCCTCCGAGCTTTAGTTTGAGAACCCCTGATATATACCGTAATCCAGTTCAAAGCAAATAATCTGGATTTTATATAGCAGTGCAGAAGGGGCCTTAGAGATGAAAGAGACCAAAAAGGTTATTCCATTCCTCACATTAGAAAGGCAGGCCCTTTCGCAGCCCCATCCACCAATTTATGTAGATTTATGACATCAATTCATGCTTGATTCATTCCACTATAGAAGGTGCAGATATGTCCTGTGTTTAATACTGTTTTAATGTTTGTATGCTTTAAGTTTTTATTTACATTTTGTATGATTTTTAATGGTAGCTACTTTGAATCTTCTTTGGGGAGAAAAAGCGGGATATAAATACAAATAACAACAACAACAACAAAACAACGTTAGGTTCACTTTATTAAAATGGGTGAGATGGCATAATAACTCTAGTCCACTCAAGCAAGTGAGCCAAGCTGCATAGTAGAAAAGATCCCAATCCTGTTGTGCTGTGGCACTGTCACTTGCCTGTCTTGACTTTAAAAAGCTGTCAGGACTTTTTGGGGATTCACCCTGAAAATCAATCAGCCTTCCATATCAACAGATTCTGTATTCACAGAGTTAAACATCAACAGCTTGAAATATATATATAAGCAAATTAGTCCAATAAATATTTCAAATAGCAGTGTTTCAAAACAGTTTACAAACAGCACATCTCAATGTTGTATCTGCTGCTGCTTACAACTTGCCCAGAGCTCTCAGAACACATATCCACCCAAGCTAAAAGGCAGCTGGAAGTAGTGGGTTTTGCAACCTTTTCAAAATGCAGCTAATTAGTATCATTGCATCTCAAAGATTGTCCTGTAGGGACAAATACTATAAAGACTCTGCTTTACTTGAGGTTTACATATCCCACACTGAGGTCTAAATCAAACAATTTGTAAGGAAGCCAGTATGGAGAGATTCAGCCTGCAAGTATTTGAAAGCTCAAGTTAAGACTAGCACCAAAAATTAGGCCTGGAAACACAGAAGTGTGGCATATACATAATAAACACAAGCAGGACGGATTGCTCACATAGCAATCAGACCCTAAATGTGAGCAAAATTATGCACTGTATTTTCCAAAGTATGTCTCAATGTATACACTTTATATCTTTAAAAAAAAAAACCTCTAATGAAGAGGGAAAAAAAGAAAAAAGTCCTCATAGTGATCAACTTTAAATGGACAAAAACCTCAACTGATGATGTTGTAGGATCATGTGGTTGGATTGTACAAAATTCATCTTGGAATTGTGATCCTGACAGCTATAGAAGATGTATTTCTTCATTCTTCTTTTCAAGGTATAACTATGACTTCCCGAGAGAGAAATATACCAGCTGTGGCAAAAGGCACTGGATTCTGGCATGCACCCACTGGGATCAAATACAGCCAAGAAACACAAGAACTGCTAAAAGGTACCTGGAGGGTGACAGGAAGATCAGAATGATATTAAGGGTGCATCTACACTGTAGAATGCAGATTTACACCACTTTAATGACCATGGCTCAATGCTATGAAATAATAATAATAATAATAATAATAATAATAATAATAATAATAATAATAATAATTACCTGCCTCTCTTTGCGACTCAAGGTGGGGTACAACAGGTGGGGTACAACAGAACGATAAAACACAACATTATTAAAATGCATATAACACAAAACCTCACAGTTTAAATGTAGATTACAATTCAAAAGTTAAAATCATGAGAGCTGTCGTTTTACAAGGTCTTCAGCCTTTTTTCCAAAGAGGGCCTGGTACCTCACCAACTTACAAGTTCCAGGATTGTAACATTGAGCCATGGCAGTTAATGTGCTATCAATATACATTGATTCTACAGTGTAGGTGCACCCTAGATAGCCCTTGCCTAGCTATTATGCACCCTGCTTTGCAGTACTGGAGCATGTGCCCACAGTGTCCTATATAAACTTCACTGTGCATATGAGTCTTCAGAACACGTGCATATTTAAATAATCATATACAGCAGCCAATGGATATTGATACAGAAGTTCAGAAAAAGAGCAGATTACACTGACTACTTTCACATTCTGCAGTTCCTCTCATATTGGTCACTTTTTCTGTGCCTTCCCATCTACAGGGAATCTGCTGTCTCTTTGAATAATGTAAGACTCTGGGTTAATATGGGCAACAATTTTATATCGATATACCATGTGGGAAACTGGCAGTTTTTCCCCTAGAGTCCCAAGTATCAGCATCATGTTTGTGGCCTCTAACTACAACTGTTTCTTTCCATTTTGGAAACTAGACAGCTAGTGGTTCATGAAACAGTATTTGTCAATTGACAGCCACTTTGAGTATAGATATTAGCTTTCCCTATTGTAGTGATGCCCAAACATGTTAGACAGCAAGCACTCAAACTCCATATGTATTTGTACCCCAAAACATGTGAAGAACACTGGGTTCAGGAAAGCTGATAGAAATGCTATATTTAAAGTCCTTGATAGCATCTTCTAAGTACCTGGAGACATTCCCAGAGACCAGAATTACCTTTCCTACACAGCTTCTATTTATGTTTATTCCTGTGAAATTAGTGTCCTTTTTGTTTTGTATTTCAGTGATGATGCAAGAATCCAAGCTTACTAGCTTCCAGCAACGTCATCTCGCAAACTGCATGAAACGTGAGTTCTGCCAGGGTCCAACTCTTTCTTTACAGTTAGCTGCTGGTTATTAACCAGTTTCCAGAGTTCTAATTTTGGTTCACTCTCAGTCACATGAGCCATCCTTGAGCAAAAAATTTAAATCACACCCTTGGAAAGCAATCTTACATAGGCTCGAGGGGTCAAACAGAATGCAAGTGGAAATAAGTCACGAGTTAGGTTCACTCGACTCTAGTTTTATCCAGCTTTCTCTGCAGAATTTTAATGACAACTGTTTTGTGGTTCTGACTGCTGGTGAGTTGGGTCTTCAGCGTATACTGTAAAAGGAGTTTGGGATAGTTTTTTTTATTATTGAAGCAGAGAATCAAAAGAATTTGACAGTGTGTCACATACTGCACTTTAGCTTGCATTCACAACCAAGTAATTTTTCATAGCTTATGTTTTGAGATAGCAACTTCCAAAATCCTTCAGCCAAAACCTTTCTCTGAAAGTGTAGCAACTTGATCAATTTTGTTGTATTGCAGCTATGTTGGCTTTTTATTGAATTCATATCTGGTTCAGCATTTTGTTAGCTCACCAGAGTAGTGTGCAACACAAACAGGTTTTGCTCAACTTATAAGTTGTTCATTTTTACTGTTTTTTTTAAAATTTATTTTATTGTTTTATCCCACTCCCATTCTCCCCCCTGGATGCACAATTTTTACAATAAACTACAGAATTTACATTTGAAATATTAGTCTTAATCCGAATTTTTCCACTCCACATTTTAATACATTCTCTAAATAATTCCTAACTGGATCCCATTGACTGGTAGTGATTGTCAAACACGACCCATCGCATTCAGGAGATGTGTTTGTCAACATTTCCCTTTTCTTCAAAATGAGAATATAGGATCCTATTTTAGTCTTCTCTAGTCTTTTTTAAAACTAAAGCCCAATTAATGTGGAACATCAGGCTTCTCCAAAAGGCTAAGCACACACATGCAGTTAGCAACACAATGAGTTCATTTTTCAGAGTTATCACATAGGTCTGAGGAAAGGATGTCAAGTTTTTTCTGTTAAAATAAATGCATCTCAGTATCTATTCAGGTGTTTGGTTCAAGTCTGAGATCCTAGAATGTTTGATTTTTGTACCAAGAGAGTCATGTTAAGATTCTGTCCTTGGCTGTATGTCACAAGGGAGGTGTCCACTTTGCCATTTCATAGGAGGTGACTCCCTGCCTGTTTGCTGCAACCCAACATCCAGCAGAGAACCACAGGTTCCAAAGTGTAGCTCGTCACCAAAGGCTTTTATCTCCATCGGTCCCTATGGTAGACCTCATCTACGTCCTGCAGAGAATTGCCGGGCAGGAGATGCGTATATGCGAGAGAAATTCAGGCCCCAACCCACCAGTAAGCGAGCAGACTTTTGGAAATGATATTCTGTATTTACAGGCTACTTTAAAAAAAAAAGAGTTCAGTAAAAGCACGTGGCATGTCTTTAGCACTTTAGAATTTAGAAGTGATATGTTTTGGTAATCTAATCTGCAAGGTCAGAATTGTGTGAAGATACATTTGTGTATTTGAGCTTGAGGGAAAAGGCAGAGGCTCTTCTCAATGGGTGGTACTTCATCTCTGAAATGCCCTTTTGATTGAAATACAGTTAGTGCCAGTTGAGGTGGCACAAACTTGAAACCTATTTGCCCAGGCATATTAAAATGTTCTCTTGGCTTAAGTTTAGTTTGCTCTGATTTTTCCTTATGTGTATTATAATGCTGTTTTAACTTTTTTTTTCATTTTATATTGCTAGCATATTTTTGTTCTTGTATTATGTTCTTTGTTTTAACTCACCTGGTATCTCAGGATAAAGAGCAAGTTAAAATACTTTTAATTAATTAGTGGCACACTTGAAGACACCAATATGTTAACAACAGAGGCAGTATTTTAACTGGCATTTCTTAGTCCTAGCTTCCAACTGCCTGATTTATCCATATGGTCACCCATTACTCTTAAAAGCAGTCAGGAATTTAACAACAAGCTTAAGACCACCCATTTATTAAGTCATTTCTCATTTTTAAAATCTAAAGCTACAATCCTTACACAAACTTAACAAGGAATTAAGTCCACAATGAAAGTGTCTTTCAAGTCAACATGCTTGGATTGTGTTCTAAATGCTTACCAAACCATCCTGTGTTCAAGCTGTTTCATGTAATATATATAACTGATTCAGAACTTTTGCACAAAATACTGATTACTTTCAGTACAGCACAGTCATTGCAATGTGTAGGAGGTCTCTTTATTCTTGGGGACAGAAGCCTGACTGCAGATAGCAAGTGGGAAAAGTGAAACATCATTGTTTTACTTTGGTATTTGTAGGAGACTTGGAGAAGGAGAAGGAAAGGCTCCAAAACATCTTGGCAACTGGAAAGGATAAAAAAGGAAAAAAGCCCCAGAAGCAACCAGTCAGAGTGAAAGAAGAGGTACCAGAACTGGACCGGTTCGATGAATGTAAGAACAGTGAAGCTATATGGTTAAAAGCAGTGCTCTGGTGCACACTTTATAGTCCAGGAAGATGGAGGGGTGGCCTATCTTCCAGGCTGGAGTACAGTTATTATTTCTTGTTTATTCGTTCAGTTGCTTCCGACTTGTGACCTCATGGACCAGCCCATGCTAGAGCTCTGTTGGCCGTCACCACCCCCAGCTCCTTCAGGGTCAAGCCAGTCACTTCAAGGATACCATCCATCCATCTTGCCCTTGGTCAGCCCGTTCCTTCCATTTTCCCCAGCATCATTGTCTTTTCTAAGCTTTCCTGTCTTCTCATTATGTTGCCAAAGCACTTCATCTTTGCCTCTTATATCCTTATTTATTATTTAGAGCTAGCAATACCTATTTTATGGGAATCCTGCTTATTGTGTCCTTTTCCCATATCTATAGATGCCCAAGTGCAGCTGCCAAACACATGCTGCCATATTTGTGGCTAGGTGTTCCTGCTTGTTTGCATCCAAAGATTTCTTGTACTTCCAGGGTGATCAGTGCAACAGGGGCATAACTCCTATTTTGCTACACAAGAACAATACAATGCAAGGCAGTCCCCACTACAGACTTACTGCTACACATACAGAAGCTCCCTGTGATGGTATCATAGCAAATTGGTACAAGAGGGCAAACGAAAGATGGGCACAGTGGATTTGCATTAGGCATCTTGTCAGAACATACACAATGTAGAACTGAACATCAAGCTTAACCCAGGTATAAGGCAGACTAGGAGAGCCAGGGATTTCCTGATACTGTAGAAACAGAACATACAAACATATAAAAGTGCAGGGTATCCCCTTTGCAAATGGTGTACACACTACAGAATCTCACTGTCTTTAAGGAATTCTGAGGTACATTCTGTTTGTGAAGGGATGGTAAAGACACATGATTTTGGGAATCCATTGTCTTTTGTATGAAGGGATGGTGCCAGTGTCTCACCTGTGGCAGCAGAAAGGAGTGTGAAAGAGTCATTCATACACATTTTATAGAGGCAAATATTTCAGTCCATCTAGTGCAGTGGTTCCCAACCTTTTTTTTTACCAGGACTCTCCAACATAAGTACCAAAAGGGATTCAATTCAGTTTTTGGTCAACCTTAGATTCAGTTTGGTTATTTATGATGCTGAATCGGCACTATAACAGGGTTTTGTGAGACCAATCTCTCTCGTTGCAATGGTGTAGCAATGGACCATATTTAGTTTCTTCGGACCACTGGAGGTCCACGGACCACAGGTTGGGAACCACTGATCTAGTGGTCAATGGTCTTCTCTAGTTGATCCACCTTTAAGACAACAGGTCTTTTGAACTGCTTTATAGTTTTCAGTAGTATATCTCTTCTAAACCTGGTTTCATTTGCTGAAGATAACACTGATAAATCAGTCTTCCATGTTTGTGCAATTCTGTTCAGAATGCCACCCAAGACTGTCGCCATGAGCTCATGTCCAGAAATGAACTACATGTAAAATCTTTTTTTCTAGATGTGCAAACAAACCTATCAAGCTTTCTTCCTTTGAAAGGGATGATCTGTTAGATTTAAAAAGCATATAATCAGCCAAACATATGTCTAAGAACTGGAAATACTGATGTGTTCTATTCCATGAGTTCTTCATTTGAACTGCTTCCTCTTTCTTCACTTGTCTAGTGGTGAATGAAATCCAAGATCGACAGAAGTTTCTGGCAGAGATGGAGGCTCTAGGACGGGGCAAATTGTACCATGGGATGATCCTCACTGAAATATCACAGGTATCCAGCCACTTCTTATCTGAAGATTCTGACATTTATATAATTACTGTTTCATTCTGACTCCTGGGAATAACATACTTTAAGAATGTGGGAATTTTCTGGTAAATATCTATGTGGAGATAAGCCTTCTGGCCTCTAGAATTGCAGATTATTTTGTAAGGAAATGAAATCTTATGAAATTCTCTTCTTCCTCATCCCCTTTCCAGAAACTGCATGAGATGGAGATAATTGACAAGCAAAGAAGCGCAGAACTGAAAGAGGCAATGGCTAAATCCTTCAATATCGGCAACAAACCTGATCCTCAAAGCACAGAGGGAGCCCAGTAGTCCTATACCAACTTAGCACAGGACTGCATTATCCTGACTACTTTCTACTATCCCAACAGTGTCAAGAATGGCTCTTTAATGCTTTAGTGAAGCAATGCACAATCTTTTTGGACTGGAGTTTGGCAGCTGAACATGGCTGTTTTCCCTCCCCAAAGTCCCCCGTTTGCTGAGTGCCCTCTTTCCCTCTATTCATCTCCACTGAGGTTACTGTTTATTTGCCTCTACCAGCAGCAAGTAAACAAGAATTTTGGAAGCTAGTGAACAGTATTTTCTCTACAGCTCAGCTGGTCAGAAATCCTGTTTTCTGCATGAACTCAAGATTATTTTACATTAACAGAGTCTTTTCAAGGGTGTGGCTTACAAACAGCCATTTAACTGCTGGCCAGGAATAGTAACTGCAGACGACTTTCCTTCTTTAAGCAGACAAGCAAGTAATGGTAGAGCTCAGAATACCTGTCTAACCTCTGAACATTGTGATATGCCTTTTATTAGAATGTGTGTGTATAGTAGCAGTTGTTCAAGTGACATATTTTTGCATGGGTGCCTGTAGGATTCAATATCTCTCTAGCCAAAACTGGAGGTTTATGTTGGTGTTTCAATTATAATCTTTTGTATAATCACATAAGGCAAGTATGGTATCTTTTAAATCAAAGTAGGAAACTGAAGACTCAGAACAATTTATCTAAACACAAGCTTTTTTCTTTATGTGAGAGGTCAGGACCAGTTGAGATCTGATGGAGGAGCCATGTTTGCTCACATGTCTGCCTCAATCATGCAGAAGGCTTCCGTTTTTACAAATGTGGGTGTGGCTAGGTAAGAGGAGCAGATCTCATCTGTGCCTTCATTCACTGCACTCTGTTGCCTTGAAATACTTTTTGGTCCATTGTTGCTATAAGAAAAGGGTATTGGAGAAAAGTGACTAAGCAGAAAGAGGTGGAGAATCACATTCATCTCCTCTCATTTGCCTACAATCAAAGTTAGATTGGGGGGGGGGGGCAGACATGAGTAGAAGTCTAGTACAGCCGTTATCTGTCCCCCTTGGGATAAAAAGGAAAAATGTTGGTATATACTTGAGACTTCATGACACTCTGCTTATGGCTCCCTGGAAATATATTTATGCAGAACCAATTTTACTCTCTTTCTGTTTGGACAAGGAGACAAGGAAATAAAATGCTACAACAGATGCTCAGTACAATTGTTCCATTTAATGTCTTTGTTCCCTGCATGCTAGTGAAAACTGCAGTTATTACAGTGTCATTCTGTCCACCAAAGTCTGGTGGGTATTTCTGATTGGAGTAAATCTGATGGTATTTTGGAACCTTGGTTTTTTTAAAAGAGCAAAAGGGAAAGTTGTGCTTTGGGATTGAACCCCGGGATGACCTTGCTGTGGAGGGTGGGAACATACTGACGGTTGACATTCACTTTTAGGGGCTGAGAACATGGCCCTGGCCAGAGCTGGCAACACCCGTCAAGCTAAATCCCCTTCTGGAATTGTCTGGAGTGAGTGTCATAGCCAGGGCCTGGCCAAGATATTCATTGTATCTGGATAAGGCAGCACAGCAATTTGCTCTGGGCTGGTAGTCTACTCGGCTCACAAGAACTCAAGACTAACAGCTGACTAACCAACATCTACAATACTATCAGTGTTTTAACTCAGACCAAACAAACATTTCAATAAATAGCTCCTCAGCGCAGAGGAGAAGGCAGAAAGAAAGGAAGAAAGACACATCTCTCTTCTTCACACACACACACAGAGCAACATACATATACCAAAATCAAAAGAAAGCTGGGAGTGGGGTAGAGGGATTTACAAGTCTGCTAAGAAAATAACAGAAAGCACTGTCTTTGCATTTTTAGAAAAGTATCTACAGACCAAGCTGGGGAAGGAGCAGTGGAGATGCCCCCAAATGAGTGAAGGGTGGCACTGGTGAGCAAGGCAAACAAGCCAGGTTGGCATTGAGTGCATCTTCTAATGCCTAACAGCGGACAGGGAATATTTGATCCTTTCCCAGCTTCCTGCATCCCTCAAGGAGCACCATAGATGAAATTAGCAGCAGCAACCAAGAGGGTTTATAAGGCGCAGTGAGCGTTGTATTAACTCATTTTGCTAAATGGTTTCCCAAGAGGTCCAGCATTCACTGTACATTACCTTTGGTTGTGCAGAAGGCTTCTAAAAGTGGGACATTTTAGAATGGATTCTGGTATTTTGGCTGTTTCTATAAGCCATTATGACACTGAGGTGTTTTCTGCAAACTCTTTGAAGTTTTAACAGTTTTAAGCCGTCAATAAAATAAATAATCCTACTCTGAAAGCCCCAAGGTTTTTCAAAATTATTTTTGTTTTTTGACACACAAGTAAAAGTACATTCGGAGCGGGAAAACAGAATCCCACCCTCTGTGACTGCTGTAAAGGGTTTTCATAATGTCAGGCACATGTGATTATCACAGTTAGAGAAGGGAGACAATTAGTGCAAGTTTCCCAGAGCCACCCAAATCCTGGATTGCTCAGAACCATGAAAAGAACATGTGCGCAACTGAGGAAGTCAGACATGATTTCACCTCTTCCTCGCCCTCACCCCTCCCTGAGGCTAAAAGAGACCAGCGACTTTCTCCTTCACATTTGCCCTCCATAATTTTCAGTGCTGACTGGGCTTGCCATTATCCCACCTTTACCCCCTGCTTCTTAAGGCGGAGGAGCACCTATTGCTGGAAGGTGACCATCTTTCTCCAGGGAAAAGCCAGCGTTCATGTATGGCGAGCCATGACCTCTTAGAAGGACAGCAAGCTGGAGGCAGCAAGTCCTGTTTGCCAAGTGCCCAGCTGAACAGGGCAGAGGCAGTCAGAGAGCAATAACAGCCCTCTCCTGCTTCTGGCTGCCACACGCTTTAGCTTTTCTCCTTGGGTGACTTGCTCTTTGACTCGTTTTTGTTCCCAAGGAGCTTCAGCACTTTCATGGGCTTGAATTTCCCTTTTTTCTTGTTATCAGCATCAGTTTCCTTGTGAAATTCTGGAGAGAGAAAGAGATAAAACATTCTTTCTGTGGAATGCAAGCTGAGGAAGGGGGGCATGAGAAGGAAAAAAAACAGGCAGAGCTTAGACAAGTTAACTACTTCGAGAACAGCATCCAGAATGAAGCATTTGTCCATATTTTTGAATAAGAGTTCTACCTGAGCTGTCATGTAACTTATATACATACAAATTATCTGTAACACCAGAGACTCTGTGCTAAATACATTCTTAATTCCAGGACACAAAAACCAGAATTATGCAGGTGGACAATTTAGCATAAATCAAACTGACACTGTTTACAGAATTTATAATATACACAATTAAGATTTTTTTGGTACTTGTGGAGGAGTGTGGAAAAGACAATAGCCACTGATGCACAACTATTGTTTCCATGTCCTTGCAATTAATGCAGCCTCAAATCACTGTATTTCAATACCAGGGTGATATGCATACTGCAATATTCCAGTGGCACACAGAAAACCCAAAATATTCCCTTGGTGCTAAATACGACTGGGTGAGGGGTTTTTTTTTTCTTGTTAAGTCTGTTTTTCTTGTTAAGTAGTAATAATAAAAAAAACTGCAAGTGTTCATGTAAAATATCTAACAGGTTGCATTTCAGTATTAAAGGGAAAGGGAAGGAAGGAGTCCTGGGTCACTTTTAAGAGTAACCAGTTTATTCCAGCATGAGCTGCCATGGATTGCAAGACATATTAATAGGTTAAAATATTCAAGCTGCAAGTATTATATGCTCAGTTACATAGTTGTGGCGAGTGGAATACATTGTCTGTATTCCAGATTGAAATAAATTACAGGAATACAGATGCATGAGTGCATCTGAGCATATGTACTGTAATCCAAAAAAAAAAAAAAACCCTGCGAAAATAAATTATCCCAAAAGATTCAATAAAGCTCTTGGATTCTTTTAAACCTTTTCCTTCCTTTTGGATTTCTAATGTTTGGGAGAAGACAGGGATTTTGTGCCTTGCACTATTTCATACCCTATACAATGGCTGGCAACACTAAATAAATAAACACTCAATAAATAAGGGAAGTATGCTAGTATCACATGTGGCTGAAACTGGTTTGGGAGAAAGCAAAGAATCCTTTGAAATCTGTCCCACTCCCAATAATATTTTCCTCTACTTCCTATTTGCTGTTTCTATTGAACATGCAGGCTGAATGTGACTGAAATGATTGGGGAGTATTTCAGAAAACATGATACAATATATAACTTTCTCAATATGTATCACTCTTAGGATAAACCTGAGATGCCTGATGCAGGTTCTAACATGGTTAGCATGGTATCTACAGACAACTGATAACTTGAGAATCAATGTCAACAAGGAAATATATGGGCTGTTTAATTTCTGGAGCCTGGTCCTCACTGACCTTTCTTTTTAATCATTGCTTCCAACATTTTGTCCTCTTCTTCCTCTCTGACAAAACAAGAGAAAGCAAGAGTTAGATTAGCCTTAGGGAGAGCAGCTATCCTCTCAGGAGAGGATTTCATGGTAAGAATTATACTATCAAGTTGTGGTTTACCTTTGCCGGTCTTCATCCAAACAGTTGACTATGGCATTACGTTGCTCAATAATGGTCACAAGCTCTTGCATCAACACCTTCTCCCTCACCCGGTCATCATCCGTCCACTCTTTCTCTGTCCATCAGAGAGAGAATAAAACAGTGACAATAAGAACTTCATTTAGTAAGATGGCAAAACTCCTGCTCCGTAAAATTTCATCTGATACAAGCCCATTTGACACCCCACCTCGCTCTCAACGTTTTCCTCTTTTAATACAGAAACTGCTTGGATTAATGTGACAATCTGGGTAAGTTCTGACATTATATTTTGGTATGTATCAATACAGACATAAAACATGGCCTCTCAGCAAGTGAAACAACACATAGGATAAGAATAGATCATCTCCTCCCCTCTCCCACCTACCTTTCCATGGTGTTGGGATTGCATGCCCCTTTGAGGCAAGAGGCCAGGTTAGAATAAAACAGAAAGCCATAACTTACCCTACTGTCACATTATTCCTAGCAACTTGTGTATTAAAGGAGGAAAGACAACTATAAAAACATTCTGAAATGTAAAAATATATCACTGAATATTAAAATTAATACTGCCCATGCCATTTTATTTCCAGTTTCCATACATGGTTGTGAAAGCTGGACAAGAAAACTGATAGGAAGAAAATCAATTCATTTGAGCTGTGGTACTGGAGAAGAGTTCTACTAAAGAAAGCCCCAAATAAATGGCCCTGGAGCAAATCAAATCCTAAGAGCCAAGATGACTAAACTGAGATTGTCATGCTTTGGACATCTCATGAGAAGATGTGACTCACCAGAAAATACAACAATTCTAGATAATATGAAAGGCAATAGGGAAAAAGGAAGATCACATGACAGATGGATAGATTCAATGAAGGAAGCCAGAGTCTGCAAGTCCAAAGCTTGGCTGTTGATGATAGGGTGACTTGAAGGTCTCACATTCATAAGGTCACCATAAGTCACAGATGGCAGTTGACAGCAAAAACATTATTTCCCGTTAAAGGGATCTCAAGTAGCATGGTTATAGGTTGTTGTAGGTTTTTTCGGGCTGTATGGCCATGGTCTAGAGGCATTCTCTCCTGAAAGCCTTCGACAATAGCATAGTTATAGTTTGGAAAACGCATTCGCCATTGAAATATGGGGATTCTGGGAGGTATAGTCTATCACCTCCAAAAAAACCTTTCCCAAGTAGACTGCAGTAAAGAGCACTGGACTGGACAGACAAATCACTTGACTTAGTACAAGTATAAGGCTGACTCCAATATTCCAATTTTCTGAATTCCTATTCAAATTTCTATCCTGACAAAGTATCTTTTTTCTCTAGCTCAATACACATAGCTCAACATATACTTAGTTATACACATTGATTGATTATGTTCTCTGTTCTTTTCTATGCATCATTCATACTTTCAGCCTATTCTGGGAGCATCCATCATCTTGGACTTTTGTTAACTAGATAAGGGAATGAGATATAGAGGGTGCACAGATAGGCTAGTAATAGAAATAGAAAACTCCTTTTATTGAACAGTGCTCCCTGCTGGCAGTTAAGATCCACAGAAGTGAAGAAAAGAACACTAGCAACAAAAAGCAATCCTCTCAGTGTAATCCAACCCTTCTCAATTTGGGAGCTTCCAGATCTACTAGATGATAATTGTCAGTATCTGCCAGTCAACTATTACAATGATTTAAAAACCTTCCAGTCAGCAGGAGCACAACGAAAAAGGCTTACCAGGTTTATTGAGAAGGCACCGCAGCTCAAACTCCACATCAGCCTGCCGCTGCTCCAAGTTTTGTTGCTTAAAACTAAAAGAAAGGGAGCTGAGCATTATTAACTTTGCAATTTTAGCATTTGTGTGTGTGTATATTCTTGAAGAAAAGCTATATGCAGTCTACCATACACTTGTCCAGCCCAGCACTGTTTGTTTCTAAAGTAGCCAAACAGATTATGAAGGCAAAACTGTTATTCTGATCCTGTTCCTAATGACTGCTCTCCGCTATAAGGACTGTGAAGACCTCTCAAAGTGGTTGCAACCCTCTCAAACAAGTTATAAACCAGGAATATAATGGTAGGGAAAGATTTAGTGAGATAACATCCTTTTGAAGTATGTTTTTCCAAGGATCAGTGTGAATATTGAATGTTTTTGAAATCCAGTTGCACACTGAATATTGCTTCAGCGTTATCCAATAAAAGAGGGAATGATGACTGAAAGAGATGAATATGCCTCAAATAGACTTTTCCCACTATGAACTCTCAAGACAATGATGGCATGAGGTCTATCTCACTTGCCTCCACTCTGATTCCACTGGGCATTTTGCCTTTGTGTTTTGCCCTGAGCTTTCCATTTGCAGGAAGCCACCCAAGAAACAGTCCTATTCACAGCACAGCGATGCCAAAATAAGCCTTGCAGGGTTCAATAATATCTGCTCATCAGTGAGCATCTTTGGGACTACAGGCAAACTCTGGGAATGCAGCTCGTTCTACTCACATGTAGATGAGTTCAGATTCCCGTCGTACCAGCATATGCTTCTCATGGATGAGTTTAAACCAGTCTACCAGCAAACCATCTTCAGGTGCCTCTGCCAATCAAATGGGGAGCATGGGATCAGAAACTTTCAGAGGGAAAGGAGTCACGTTCCTTCCCCTGCAAAAAGCAAGGGGTAGATGCACCAGCGCACCTCTGTCTCTTGCTCAATGCTTCCTTCAAGTAATGAAGACCCAGAGATGCTATTTTTGAAGTACAGGTCCAATAACAACATAGAGAGCAGTATTTCTTCAACTAACAATGCCACCTCCTAAATGTTCTGCAACAAAGTGCCAGATGATGGATTTTTTTAAACCTGCCTCCTCCTTTCAAAGCTGCCAACAGATTCCCTTTTCCTCTTTCCCAATGTTTTTAAGGGAGACACATTCCCTCAGCAGATAGCATTTTACCCCGTGATCCTCACCCACCACCTCCCCCAGGAAGTGAAGCTGAGAGATAAAACAGATGTCCTATTTCCCCCACTTTAACCAGCTGCAGTTCACCCTCTCCCTCACTAAAAAAAAACAAGTCATAAGCAGTCCTTTACTTGGAATATCAATCAAATCAATTTTACAATGGCCCCATTTGGAGAGGTTCTGGAATATTATGAGAAAGGTAACAAACCAAAAACCTATGGTTTGTTTATTGTGACACACAAATCTGAAAACACAGCACACTCCCAAGTTTATGTCTCTGGCATCTCTGGAACACAGTTCTGGTTTACACATGGCACTAAATAATTGATGACAGAAGATCAAGTTTCCTGAGCTGTTCCCACTTGTAGATGGACCAAATAATGGTGCTTAGCCTCCATGTTTCCTCAAAAGAATATGCATTGAAATATATGCTGAAAATAATATTAATGAGAGTTTTGTGGCTGAGAAGACAAGAAAAATTTTAAAACCCACAACCCCCCCCCAAATACTTTCCTTAAATAGTTGAAAATGTTGATAATAATTAATAATTGATAATGAATAATTATTTTCAAATTATTTGAAAATAATTATTTCCAAAACATGTTTCAATGTTACTATATGCAACTTCTAAAAACACTCTGCAAGATATGATGAGGAAATACACTGCCAAATAAGAGTTACAGTCTGACCCTTYATTCTGCAGGAAATATGTTCCCAGACTTTCTGTGGATATGCAAAACTATGGAAAGTAGTAGATCCTACCCCCCACTGAAYTGAAGTTTCCAACCCAAGAACAGCATGGAGCTATTCTAGAGGACCTAGAAAATGTCTACAGATACCATATTTTGTCACAATTGGATAAATGAAACTGTAGGTATCAGTCCCGTGGACAAGGAGGTTGTATTGTACTCAAGACCAAGTTGATGATCCCACAGTGGCAAGTCAGAAGGAAAAGCTGTCCCTCTTGACAATCAATATTGCCTTGTATCTCAGGACTCTTCTGGTCTCCCCCCCCCCTTTCCCCCCAGAGTGGCATCACCCATCCTACCGTTCTCCATGCTGCGAAGTTTTCGTTCTAGCTCAACTCCTCTGTGCTCCAACTCATCCAGCTGTTGCTCAATGCTGTCCATCTCACCATAGATATCTTCCACAGGGACATACTGGTCTGATTGAACCTGTAGAAAGAAGAACAAAGTGACATACTTCTTTTTAAAAATAACTGCAACAACAAAACAAGCGATTTTATCTTTCTGGAAGATGCCAACAGACTTCAGAGGCACAGAACAGAGATTAAAATGACTGAAAATACTATTTTATTTTTAAAAATGTGAACAAGCCCCAGGAATGAGATGGGACTTTGCAGTCCTGGCTTTTTGCCTCCTCCAAGCACTTCTTGAAGAACATCCCTGCACACAGTTTTGAGTATAGCTAGATGTCAGGAAGAGAATTTAGGGTAGAAATGATCTTGAAGGGCAGGTTCCAAGCCTAACCATAACCTCTTAAAAATGGAGTATGTTTTTTTTAAAGAAGCTACTACCACTATGTCTAAATATCAGTCTTCCTTTCATGGTACTACTTAGGCTTCTGCTTCTCTCCTTTACTATTGACTTAAAACACCACAGCAGGTAGTGCAGTCCTTCTTCTTTCTTCTCATTTACCTTCCGTTTGATTAATGGAAAGCCATGTCCAGGAGCAGGAGGCCTCGCTGGCTTGGGTCCTTTGGGATTTTTCTTAATGGAGGGGGAGGCAACAGGTGACGGCTTCCGGTTGAAGGGATTCTCTTTACAAGATGACTGTAGACAAACACATAAAACAGAACATTACCTTAAGCAAGGATATGATCCTGGGCTATTTTTCAACTTAAATTGTTTTTTGAGGGAATCTAGTGATGTCTAACATAATCAGTGGGTATGGTTAAAAGGAAACTGAGAAGAAGCCAAATATATTATTATTAACTCTGAACTACAGAGGCAGCAAAACCTTAACTCAGGCTGCATCTTTCTGTCAAGATACTTTAATATACATAGTTGCCTGTGCATATATGCTGATGGCCTGTCTTTCAGCCAATGTCAAGAGCATGACTACAGATTCTGCAGAACAGCTGTAGTGAATTTGGTATCTGCCACTAGGGACAAAGTTTCATAGTATCATAGACTCTTATAATTGGAAGGGGCTGCAAGGGCCATCCAGTCCAGTTGCTGCCATGCGTTATAACTAATTGCAGTCTTCCTGAAATATGTTGGTCCAAGCTCTGTTTAAAGGCCTCCAAAGAAGCAGAGTCCACCCCTGACCCTGGAGCAGTCAAACAGTTTTTACAGTTAAGACATTCTTAATAATGTTATTTATGTCAGAAATACTAAATATTAACTAGGTATTTTTAATTACAAAAATGTGAGTCAAGAACTCAAAGGGTTAAATGGATGCAATGACAGCAAAAGCTGTAGTTCAATATAAGCAGGTGTGCCTATAGCTTAGTTCCCTCAATCTGTGAGAGGTCTCTGTGGAAGAAGGGCCTCAGTGTGTTAGGTAGGCCTCAGTATTAGTTTGCCTCAGTGGGAGACAGGTGTCAGTCTGAGAGAGTCCTCGGTGTGGGAAGGCCTCAGTGGGAGTAATGCCTCTGTGTGAGGTAGGCCTCAGTGTGGGTAAACCTGGTGTGTGAGAAGCTTTGGTGAGAGAAGCCCCAGGTTGAAGGCCATCGTGCGTGAAGGCTGCTGTTTGTAAAAAGCTACTATGTGAAGTTCTTGTGTAACTTTGGTGTGAGAAGAGGCTCTGTGAGAGCGAAGCTGTTTATCTTCATGAGAAAGAATCCCAGCATGGAAGCAAAGAAGAAAGTATAAAGAAATTTGTTCGTGTTGTGGAAACCATTTTCTTATAAATAGTGCAAGCATATTATTTTGCTACAAAGAAAAGCCTCCTATGGAAGAAATAACATTGGTCTGTGTATTTTTGTTCCTTTTATTACTTCTGGCTACTGCTGCTGGTAAGTTACTCTGCTGTGCATTTATGAGGAGGGTCTTTTGTTAATAAGCCCACTCACCCAACAGGTTAATAATAAAGTGCAATCATTTACCACCAATAACATTTATGAGAAATCAGGGTCATGTGTTAGTGTTCAGCATCAAACTCTTGCAGCATGCAATTACACCCAATTTCAGCACTGAGGACCAGTGCAAGACAAAGGAGTAATTGCATGAAAGATCAATAGCAGAGGTGAAGAATATTTGACATTCCAAAAATTTGGGATTTCAATTCCTCCAGTCTTTTACCACTCTAACCAGGGCTGCTGGGAACTGGTGACCAAAGCATATGGAAAGCCCAGGAGCCCCCACCCTGAACTATAAACAGGACCAGGATCACCAAATCCCGCCTAGGCCTTTGAAGCATCTGTCCTGAGACAGCCTTGGAGAAAGTGTGTCGGGAATAATGGAAAGAGACTTTATCTAAGAAAGTAACGTCAACTTACCTTTGGCTGTGCTTTGGGCGAAGGAGAGTTCCTGGCAGCCCCGCTATTCAGATCCGAGACCAAAAGGATAGGCGTGGGAGTGGCACCTGCCAGGGGCTTGGGTGAGGCTTGCTCAGAGCTGGTTTTCAAGTTCCCAGCTGAGCAGCTATTGGTAGTCTGTAAATTCCCCACTGGTACCTCATTGCCAGAATCAGCCAACTCACTAGATGAGGATAAGGAAGAGACAGTGGAGCCACTGGGCAGAGCTGCAGTGCCCTCATTGGAGGAGATGTTGGCAAGTGGGGGGTTCAAGCTGGAAGCAGGTGGAGCATGGACCATAGGCTCAGAGGAGCTCTTGGGCACAGAGATCTCCTCCAAGTTTTCAGCTGCCTTGACCAAACACTCAGAGGCGATACTCTCCAGGCTGAGAGCAGGAGATGGGGTGGAAGAAGATGGCTCTGATCGGGAAATTCTAGAGATGGAATGGTGAGCTGCAAAACAAGTGAAGCATTTGAGAGGCTGTGATGATACACACTTACCTGAAGAACCACTTTGCTTGTTAGGGCCATTTACAGATAGAAGCCATTTTGGTTTATCCTCCTGGTCGCAGGTTAGAAATACTTCTCAATCATCAACCCTAATCCTATAACCCATCCATCCTGAGCCAGGTTTCCCAAACCAGGAGCCCCACCCCCTGAAGTTTTAGACTATAGCTTCAGAGTAACTTGAAATGATGGGAATTGTAGTTCAGGAACCCAGAGGGTCCTGGGTTGAAGAAATTTAATTCACAGCATGTTTTAAGCAGAGTGCATATGTAAAAAAGGAATGCAGATAGAGACAATTAATGCAGAAATCAAGAACAATTAGGGGGCGAAGCAAAAATTTAAAAAACCTCAAAGTTATACAAGGCTGGGAGAAAACATTAACAGCAAATATCTCTCAGACCCCATTTACAATGCGATATAATGCAGTTTCAAAATGCAATTTATCTGCATAAAATGGTAGTAAAGACTTATATAATGTAGTTCAACACAATTCAACTGCATTATGAAACTGCACTATATCTCAGTGTAGATGGAGCCTTAATTCCTATGTTCCATCAAATATAGGTCAAGAAGGTTCAGCTTAGCCACAATCCTTTGCTACTGAAGGCATTCAAAAGGTCTCGATTACCACCCAGAAGCATTATGTGAAGGAGAGAAGGTAATATGTATATTGGAAAGATGCCAGAGGTGCCTAATTTGTTTCCCATTTGAAGACACAATACAGACTCACCAAGTGGGGAAGCATTGGGAGCCTTTGGTGCTGGACGCTTCTTTGTTCTGGGACTACTGGTGGGGGTGATACCGTACCAGGGGTGAGCAACCCTTGAGGTCTCAGCCTCAGCCTGCTCTGGCTTTGAAACATTCTGTGGTGTGGCAAACCCCTCCTCTTCTTCTATTTCCTCCTCTTCCTCATCCTCAAAAGGGTTGTAGGGCTTTGATTCCCTTGTAGTGGGCCTGCTTTTTCTCCCTTGTGCCTTCCCTTCCTCTGCAACATCTTCATCCTCTTCTGAAGCCCTTGGTGGACTCTCCTTGCTACCACCTGGTGGGGGAGGAGCAGGCTTCCTCTTGGGCTCCCCCTGAACCAATGCAATCCATGGAGGGTCCTTTGGCTTTGGTGACTCTCCAGTTCTAGTGAGAGGTGCAGGGAGAGAGGACATGGCATAAGGAAGGATGCAGTGAGGGAAAATTGAGCTCTCTTGGAATAGAAAGGTACCGCAATGTCCACTGCCCCTCAATAGTAAACTGTTCCCTCCCTTATATATCTAAAGCTGCATGTACAATACGCCTCCCTTATCCATTGACATGATATCCATGGTTTCACTTACCCATATTACAAAGATATACAGATTTATCTGCCCCTCTCTGAAACTCTCCACAGTCTTCTGTGGAATGCTTCTGGCCCACATATAGTCAAAATATAAGGTTTGCTATTATCCACAGTTTTGGGTAACCACTGGTATCTCAGGAGGTATCTCCCACGGATACTGGGGCCATATTGTATTTTGGAATTCTGCCACATAAGCATCAGAATGGGTACTAAGCAAAGAAGCCATCTTCCACACCAGCTGAGCTTTAGTTTTTAAAATAAAATTACGCATATATTTATTTTGCTTTTTAGAACGAAAAAGTACAGGATATTACAAGTACAGACAATGTTCTAATAATAAGAAAAACAATGTATGTAATACCATCTTCTGCCTTTAGTAGATAGAGAACTGAAATGGCCAAAGACATGGCATTTAGTCTTCTCAAGTCCTGCTCTGAGTAGTTAAATAATAACAACAACAACAACAACAACAGTAGTAATAATAATAATAATAACAATAACAATAACAACAACAATAATCTTTATTTCTATACCACTCTATCTCCCCATGGGGACTCAGGGTGGTTTACAACAGAAAAAAGGCAAACTAATTGTTACTAAGAACAGCTTATTACATAAAAAAGACTCTTGTACCACTTTAAATGCTCATTAGGTTTGCTGACCTCTAAAGTACCACAGATTTTACTGTTTTTTGTGCAGGAGATTAATCACTCAAAGCCTTTTTCTACCCTAGGATAATCTCTATAGGCCAGACAAAATGCATAAAATACATCATGCAAAATTTTGAAGTCTTGTGGCTTCTTCATCAGGCAAAGCTATTAAAAATCATACAGAAGAAAACTAACAATATTAGACTTACAGGCTTACATTTTGTTGTGCACAGAAGTATAATTATTTTGTGGATTTTCTATTTTGCTGTATTTTCCTGCATGACTAATGCTATCTTCTGGAGTAACCTCTATTACAAATATACAATCACTTTTAATTAATGTTTCGACTTGCAATCCAGAAATTCAGGAGGTGTTATGATCTGAGAATAATTTATCAGATTCATTCTGTCTCAAAGTGATTTCAGAGCAAAAAGACATACCGTTCTGAGGATGCTGGCCTGCCTCTGGGCTTCGGAACTGGAGGACAGGGGTCAGAAGGCCTACCTAATCCGGAATTGAAGAAAACAGCAAGTGTGTGGCATCTTCTAGAAAGTGGCTCCAAATCAATTTAAATATTGGAAATGTATTTTGCAAACCAAGTAACTGCTCCTTATTATTGACAAAAACTTTATCATATCATACATTTGTACAATGCCATCTGAAAGTACAGTACTCTCTTACATTAGGCGGGAGGATGCCTGCCTCTGGGAGCAGGACCAACACAGCTTATCTTTACACTCTGAGGACAAGCCCAAGGGACTTTCATCTATCCATGCTCCATTTCCATGCTTTTTGTGTATTTTTAAACTCAGGGATTAAAGTGGCCAAGCATTCTGTTTGCCTACTAGACATGAGAAACCCAAAACTCTGTGTGTTAGGGACTGTGAACATGTTGACTGGAGAACTCTAGCAGTTGTAATTTTTTAAAAACAACTTTTTATAAACCCTATATCAGCTGTGAAGGAAGGAAATCTCTTCCACAACCAGCATAGAAAACACAGCAGAATGTCAAATGGAGAAAGGATTTGGAAGACACAAGCCACCTTGACAAATTGTGCTCTTCTAAGCAGACCGTAAACCCACAGATTTGTTGTTTGCTGTTACTGACTTGCTTTGATATTTTGTGCCAAGATATTTTGTGTAACCTCTGTTGTGTTTTCTTTTTTTATTCACTGGGTTCTGGGCAGGGGCAGGGTTGCTTTTCTTTGTATTTCCTTTTTTTCTGCAATGCAAACAGCAGAGGGGTCAGCATTCTCCCACAGAATAAGTATTTTATAAGCAGAAGACGGTCCTAGATCCAATCTCAAACATCTCCAGTTAAATCACGGGTGGACGTCCTCTATCAGTTCAGGGACCATTTTCAATTTCAGAGTTCTCAGCAGCTGCTTTTCAATTCAAAGAGGGTATGTCAAGAACATCCTATAGTATTTTTCTATAAAGTTATTATCAGCAGTAACAAGTCTACCAGGAGATTAATTTTAACCTTTCAGAATGGGGAAAATATGAAGGCCGGGAACCACAAAGACAACCATGCTATAAAGATGGGGGAATGAGAAAGAGAATATCTATCTGGGAAAACCTTGAGGACCATATTTACAGCGGGTGCTTTTTGCGTGTGCCTATAATTAATACGCATTCCATCCGACTTTAGCATCATGTAATGTTATGAAGTCACAAGAGCCATTTCTTGATTTCCTGACTGGCTCACATTTCCTTACCATTGACCATGCCAGATCCTAGCTCACTACAGCTCCCAGTTTGGATATTGGCTCTAGGCCTTGGAACAGGATGAAAATTTGGTGGCAACAAAATTTTAGTTCATGTCTTAGGTTCCCCATTCCAGAGTTAAAGAACAAGTAAGATAAATAGCGACAGGGAAAGAGATTTTTTTCTATGATACTCTCCCTAGACAGTCTCTTTTCAGCACCAGTTTTTTTTAAAAAAAATCTTAGGGGTATTTGAAACTGCTTTAGTACTTTAAGATCATCGTCTCCAAACCTTGGGCTCCCAAGTGCTGTTTGATGACATATTCCTCTATATCTGACTGATTGGAAATGTGATTTTGGCTCTTAACACTGTTTATTCTTTGTTTTACTTTTGATGTGTCGCAGTTTTGCTTTAATTGCTGATTTTGATTTTTATCTTATATTTATTATTCTTTTACTTTTATTTTATGTTTTTGATCTATCTGTGCACTAACAAGGAAACTTCAGTCACTGGGTATTTTCTAATTCAGAGAAATAAGGAACAGGATGCTGAGTGGCATACAGCTTGGAAAAAAATTTTTTTTTAAATAACCATTCCCAGAATTTCATACGTAGCTACTGGTCATACCATTAAGGGATTCTTAAGAGTTGTAATCCAAATAGTAAATTTCCCAAGATGTACTGGAGACCTGTGGTCAATCAAAGTAGACAGTACAAGGCTTGGTGGACAACTGATTTGTCCCAACACAGGGTTTTGCTTTTCAGGAGAAAAAGACTTCCTAAAGAGCTTCATTGAGCCTCAAGAATAGACATAAACTTAGATTCAGTGGGTGTTTTTTGATTGTGCCTACCATTTATACACATTCCATCTGACTTTAGCCTCATGCAGTGGCATGGAGCCACAAGAGCCATTTCTTGATTTCCTGACTGGCTCACATTTCCTTACCATTGACCATGCCAGATCCTGGCTCACTGCAGCTGTCAGTCTGGATATTGGCTCTGGGCCTTGGAACAGGATGAGAGTTTGGTGGTGACAGAGTTGTAGTGTCTATGCTCTTCCGGGGGGCAGGAGTGGGGCGAGTCTCCATGAGCTTAGCTTTCTCCTGGATAAACATTGGAGGCTTTGCTGGCACAGGGGGCTTGGGAGGCATTTGAGAGGAAGGCTCAGAGACAGGATCAGATGCAAGTGTTTCATTCTTTGGCTGAGCAAGAGGCACCTCAGTCTCTGCTTCCAGTTTGTCAACTGCTTTTCCCTCTTTGTCTCTCTCTTCTATAGCTGATGGATTAGTCTCTAATATTCCATTCTCTTCCTCTGCACCAGCAGTCACCATCCCAGGCTCTTTGCTTTCCTTTACATATTGAAGATCTGGACTCGGCCTCCGCTCAGCTCTCCCACTCAGGCCCAGTTTCCCACGATGTTGGGTGCATACAAATGTGCCCAATTCAGGTCCAGGCTTATAAGATCCAGGGAGAAGGGTGCTGGAGCATTCCTTACATCTGTCAGAAAGAAAGCTTGTTACCAGAAGGTAAGAAAGCATTGGGTCCTAACTGAAAAGAACAATGTGCAGCTCATGATTTTGTCAGATTACCTGCAAGAATCTGGACATTTAACCTCCACCTCTTGGCCTCCCTTTCCCATTTGATCAATCACATATATATGAGGAAGGGAGCACTAGGGAGTGGTGTATCAGGGATGATTCTCAACTTCTATGTTTTAGACTGATGGATTGTCAGACAAAAGTGGTTTCTTTCTGGGGTACCATTATCTGGTCACCTGAGTGCCCAACTCATGAGGATGGTTAAACAAGGCCTGCCAAATTATCATCAACAGTCAACTTGAGAATTTTCAAGTATGGGAATTTCAGGATATTTACTGGGGAGATGAGAAATCTCTTTGGATACTATTATTAGAAGTAAAGGTTTCCGCTTGACATTAAGTCTAGTCGTAGCCAACTCTGGTGGATGGTGCTCATCTCCATTTCTAAGTAAAAAAGCCAGCGTTGTCCGTAGACATCTCCATGGTCATGTGGTCAGCATGACTGCATGGAGTGCCGTTACTTTCTCACCAGAGTGATATCTATTGATCTACTCACCTTTGCATGTTTTTGAACTGCTAGATTGGCAGAAGCTGGGGCTAACAGTTGGAGCTAACCCCACTCCCCAGATCTGAAGTGCTGACCTTCTGGTCAGCAAGTTCTACAGCTCAGAGGTTTAACCTGCTGTGCCATTGGGGGCTCCATTATTAGAAGTATTCATAAATATATAAACATATACATTCCCTTTATGGAAAAACACAAAAATAGCAATGTCTAGGTGTATTGCTTCAGGGTATTTCATTACACTGCATTTTAAGGCACCATTCGTATCAGTATATCATGTTATATTTAGCTATCAATATATTATTTTTCATAGGGAAAGTCATAAAAACTGAACCTTGATCTCTTTGTTCAGACTTGGTAACAATCAATATATGATGTGAAAACATCATCTTTCTAAACCACTTAACACAGTTTCTTATCCCATCATTATTATCCTCAGGTTCGTCCATCACTTCTTATGTGTCTGCTAAGGCATCATACAGGCATTTCATAAAGGCTTTAACTTGCACATAATTCTATCCCATGTATATTCATAATCTATAATGATATAATACAGCAAATTACACATGACAGAATACATTGTCTGAAGAATTAACACAACTTTAACAGGTGTCTGTAATTACATAGGTATGCAAGAGTTATTTTCCTTGTTACATTTTACAAGTGTTCATAATTACTTAGAAATATCTGTTCTTATTATAACCCTATAAATCAGCATTTTAAGGCACAAAATCAGGGCAATTATTTGTCTTTAGTTTATCAACCAGGTTGTCATAGACAACAGCATTATACAGTGAAGGTATGCAGAAAAGCTGGCTCATTTGAAATTTCTTTCAATCTTTTTAATGCTCCTCCTTCCCACAGCTTGTTTATTGACCAATCAAAATGATTCACAACTGATAAGACAGTTGAAGTAGGTTAGGTGTTCTTCTTAACTTTTCCAGCTAGTATACATTGCATTGTCTGTCTTCATTCCAAAATTTACTGCTGTCTCCTCATCCCATCCCTTCTTGAAAACCTATGCTTCTTAAATATCATTCTATAGGCATTTTACCTATCTGTTTACATTCCAAGGTATCTGACATTGTTCTCAGACTGACAGAAAATCTGTAGTGAGTTTATCCCTGTGAAATACACAGACTGAAACATTATATATTGCACATTATTTTCTAGAGAAGACACATACCACACACAGCTGTGAAAACTGGTCTGGAAAATGTCTGACTCCCATACTGGACCTTTGTATGCACCTCAAAACAGGAATAATATGAACAACAGTCCAAAATGGGCTTGACCTTAAGAGTTATGAGTGTTGGGTGTTTGCACTTAATAGCAGAGCTCCATGTAGCTGAAAATGTTACCACAAACTCCATATTCAAATATTCTCCCTTATTTTTCAAAGGTTGATTTAATACTTTTGCTGAAATTTAGTACTAACAAAAAAGATAGCCTGGGCAATAAGTCTATAAAACATAAAAGACGGTCACTAGTTAAAAAAATAACTTTTGAGCACACAAATGATAGTCTTTATTTAAATACAGAGTCTTGATGGCTCCTCCTCCCAGCTCAATATTTTTCCTCTTTAAAATGCAGAATGATAGGCCTCTCAATTCATCATTCAGGAAGAGATGCTTCTGGTGGCCTTCTCCACTCGGAGAAGAGGTGATAATGTCTGCTTTCAATGGGCTTGGGTTGGAAGAGCTTACCTGAAGCACTGACGGTGGTAGAGCTTTCCATCAGCCAGATAGCGCTGGACCAGGTGAACATGTTGTTGGCAAGCTGCGCAAGTGCTGCTAAGGGTGGTACGTTGGGACTGCTCTGCCAGGCCTTCAGCAACATCATTCTGAAGTAAAAAATAAATTTCTAATAAAGATGCCTTCATTACTTGGAACACAGAGTTGGACTAAGCGACAGGTGGAGGACAGCCTCCAGAAGTTCCCATCACCTTTCACAACTGCCTCTGCTTTCTAAGGCCCTTTTTACACACTGTATAAAATCCAAATTGAACTGGATTTTATGGCAGTGTGGACTCAGATAATCCAGTTCAAAGCAGATATTGTGGATTATCTGCCTTGATAGTCTGGGTTTATGGCTGTATGGAAGGGCCCTAAGGCTGTTAAGACATGCAGTCCAATGCCATCTGGAAGACCATACGTTCCTCATTCCTCTTCTACGTATCAAGTATAGCTTTCTCCAATCTAGTGCCTTCCAGAAATTTTAGACTTCAATGCCCAAACTCCCTAACCACTAACTATGCTGCACGGATCTGATGAGAGTTACTTCAGAAAATTTGGAATGCACTGTTTTGGAGGAATATGGTCCACAGAGCTGCAACTTTAGGCTAATCACAATATGCAAGGAGGGGGGTCAAGTCAGATACTAAATAGTTTTACTAGATTATGGTTTTACTATATCACAAATGACTGCCTCATTTAGTTCATATATGTCAGATCGTTATGCTAATACTTAGCTACTTCCAAAATATACATGGGCTCTTATCTAATCCTGGAATGAATGAAGCAACCTTCCTAAACATAGTGCCTGCTAGGTGCTTTGGACAACAGCTCCCAAATCAACCATCTGCCTGTTATCTGGAACAATGGGAGTTGCAGTCCAAGATATCTGGATGAGGACAGATTGGAGAATACTGGAATGCAGCCTCTTTAGTCAATGTTTCCCTTCTTTAAGAGATTGCCAGGGTTGAGAAAGACAATCTTCCAAGAGCTAACAAATCACCCATGATCTGTCTACCTCAAAAGAAGAGATATTATTATAGCTGCTGAATCTTTAAATGCTACATCTGAAGGATAATAATAATAAAACACTCCAGCTCCAGGCATCAATCCAAGATCTGACCACACTGCCCCAAAGAGAAAAGCTCTCTCATTGCCATTAAGAAGAGAAACCATCTTGGAGCATCTCCATTATCCCCATTAGATCAATAGGTACCGCTCTGGAGGGAAGGTAACGGCACTCCATGTAGTCATGCCAGCCACATGACCTTGAAGGTGTCTATGCACAACGTCAGCTTTTCTGCTTAGACATAATGTCAAGGGGAAACCTTTGCCTTTTCTTTATCACTTCAAGAACAGTTCTGTTCTGGCTCTGACCTTTATTGGCGCATTTTCAAATTAGGAATATATAAGGTAAAATCCTCTGGAATATTAGAACTAACATAGGAAGCCAATTTACACTGCATCACAGATTCTATCTAGCCTATTGCTGTTAACACTGACTGGTACCAACACCACAGAGTTTTTTTCAGCTGTATCAGAAGATCTGAGGATGAATCTTATGTGTGCAAAGTATGTGCCCTACTACTATGCTACAGCCTCTCTGCAGAATGAATTCTGCTACTAGCATTATGGCACATGTAGATTTTGACAACCTTTTTATTTTTGCAGTCACTGGCATGATAAACATGATCCTGGTGGGTTGGCATCCAGGGTACAACTGGTTGAGTTACAAGTTGCACACTGCCCATTGCACCTTCTTGGAGACAAAACTATTTTATTGTATTTTATTATTACATGTTTAGACCAGCTAATAACCAGAGTTCTGAGGGCAGAGTAGAAAACAAACATGTAGAATATAAACAATGATTAAAGACAGCACTGAGTGAAGCCAAGAGAAAACTAGCAACACAATCTGTTCTGAATTTCTTTTGAAGGGTATCAGTTAAGAAGCCAAGACTAGAAGAAAATTAAGAGATGTAGGCCAATTAGATGGGCCCTGGTTTTTAGCAGGCTCTTATACCTGGGGTGCAGATGTAGTCTCAGATGTAGATGTAGACTCATGAGCTGGCAGGGTGGGCGCAGAGGCACCTGCTGGGCGCTTCAGAGATGGAGGGATTCTAGCTGCAAAGACAGAGAGAGAAAAAGTCAGGTCAGTTCGCAAGTGTAGATGATGAACCAAGAAAGAGAAACAATTGGTATTATCCCTTGGTTTTAAAGGGCTCAGAAGGCCTACTTGGCTTTTCACACTTCGTTTTGACTTATAGTTGGGGCTCAAATACAAAACCTTGACTTGTATCCTACTTGCTGACTTCTGAGGGCAAACAATTCATCCCTTCCCTGCTCCATACTACACAGTTGTTGTTTTGATCATTTAAACCCAACTTAGCACAGGGCTTAAGTGTTTGAGCAGCATAATTAAAGTCATGTGGAGTGTGAGGCATTTACAAATGTTGACAGGAACTTGGCAGATAGCCCATATTTGTGTCCATCACGATCTCCTAGCTCCTCTTCTGGCTAGAAGAAAGAGATAGTGTCTTGTTGCCTGCCTTTGAGAGGCTTTTGCAATGACTGCCCCTCAAGTGAGGAATTGGAATGCCCTCCTTGGAGAGGTCTGTGTGGTGCCTTCTTTTCTAATATTACAACAACTAGCAAGACTCCTTTAATTCTTTCAGGTGTTTCACTCATTACTCAACTTTATAAGCAAGTTGTTTTATATTTTGTTTTGGGAAACAATGGAAGCTAATTTAACAGAATTTGGAAGAATAACAGGGTTACAAGTTAACTGGAACAAGTCAGAAATGTTATTTATCATGGTTTGGTAGGATTGCATTGGTTAAAATGAAGATATTACCTAAATTAAATTTCTTATTCAGAATATAAAAAATTTGGGTCAATAATTTTTTAAAATGGCAAAATATTCTAAATTTTATTGTAATGGAAATAAAAAAAGCCAGAATAAATAAAAACAAATGGTATAAACGACAAAAATAATTTATTTATTCATTTATTTCCCACATTTATACCCCACCCTTCTCACCTCTTAGGGGACTCAGGGAAGCCTTACAACAGGCAACGATTTGATGCAACACATATCAAGTAGGTGGTTTAGGCCTCCCAAATATCAATCTATACTGCCAAGACAATCCAATACAATACATAGCAGAAAGCTTAGCAAAACAAAGAGATCTGGAATGGTGAGAAGAGGGCAATAAAAAACTAGATTTGAAATTGGAATATATTGTCTTTCTAGATAAAAATGGAATACTTAAGAAGAATTGGTATAATGAGTTAAGTTATCCCTTCTTTAAAATATTTTGGAAATCTGGAGGAAATATAAAGCAAAGTTGATGCCAAATATCTCATCCCTAATTCCAGTATTAATTGCAAACAATACTGGAATTATTAATTGGGATTTACACATGACAACTATAGAAAGCATTAAAGATCAATTATTAGAAACTAATATATCATGGTACAAATGCCTACAACTCAGAAAATGATCAACAGGTATACAAAATAAATATAAGGAAGGTAGAGAATATACAAAATTTGAGAGGATGATTATCCAAAGACAGGCTAAGGTAGAAAATGAAACAATAAAAGCTACAATAAGTGATATTTATTAACTAATACTGGAAGAAGAGCAGATTCAAGAACATCTCAGGGAAATATGGGAATAAGATCTGGGAGGAAGCGTGAATGGAAAAAATGGAAAAACAATATGGAGCATGTGCATCTTAAAAATATTCCTATAAGAATTAAATAAAATTATTATAAAATAATATGGAGATGGAACTTAACACCAGTTAGATTAAATCAGATAGAGGAGAAATATTCAAAGCAATGCTGGAGAGGATGCCAAGAGTTAGATTCATATATCCATATGTGGTAGTCATGTAAATTTATACAAAAAAATTGGGAAATAGTATTTAGGGAAATAAGAGCAATAATAAAAATAGAAATAAAAGGTACACAAGAAATAGCATTATCATTGTATGATAATATTATATCCTCACAAGAAGTGAAGGAATTAATTTCCAACCTATTAATGAGAGTGAGGCTGATAATTGCAAAAAAAACTGGAAAGAGAAAAGCAAAATTCAATTGGAAGAATGGTATAGAGAAGTTTGGAACATAGTGATTAATGACAAACTGACTTGTGACATTAAAGTTAAAAAAGGGAATATGGAAACAATGGACTTTTGGAAAATCTGGGGGAAGTTTATAGAATTTGTATTTATAGAAGGACAGGGGGGAAAACATGCAACAGTAACACAGACATTCAGGAGATAAAGAATAAGATAAATTGGTCCTAGTGAAGATGGCACAAAGAAAAGGGAAAGAGACAGGGGGAAAGGATAAACATATTCAAGTAATTAGAAGAATTGTATTAGAATTATAAATGCAATAGTCAACAAGTAAAGTTTTTGTTGACTTTACTTGTTGACTATTAATACATTAAGAAAATCCTTAATATGATGTACTTTCTTGGTGCAGATACTGTTTTAATATGTTTTTCTTGAATGTGTTTTGTTTGTTACTATATTTGGAATTTGGTTTTCTTGAATAAAATTTTTTATATATATATATATATATATATATATATATATATATATATATATATATAAATGTATTTATATTTTACATCTAACATTGTAAAGTTGTGCCACATACTGCTTTAGTTCCATTACAGTTTTAGATTATTTTGTATTTGCTGCCTAATGACCATTTTACTTTATATATTTAGAAGTAATAATAATATAACGAATAACAATAATAATTGTGATTTTACTGCTGGTTTTATTGTGCTTGTAATTTTGGAATGATTGTTTTATTTATATTAGTTTTTTTGTTGTGTTTTTATAATATCCATTGTCCTGACAGTGTAGGCTATGGGTGACTTATCATAATAAATAAAAAAGTAATCCTCATATATACCCATATATACAAATATAATATAATATAATATAATATAATATAATATAATATATACATGCAATATAATATATACATATATACATATAACACATACAATGCAAAGACATTTACACATCCATCTGCCAGAAGCAAATATCTTATGCCAGTGTAGTGTAGTAGCAAGAATGCTGAACAGGGACTTGACAGATTCAGGTTCAAGTCCCCACTGAGCCATGAAAATCACCAGATAATCTTGGGCCAGTCATTCCCTCTTTGTCTGACCTATTTCACTTTTCAGGGTTGTTCTGAGGATAAAGTATGGAGGAGGATAATCACGGAGGTCAGAATAAATGCAGTGGAGAAAGGGGGAATATAAAAGCCTGCTAGTGACTCAGCCATCAATGCTCTTACCTCTGAGCTCTCACATTGGGGAAGGAAACGAAAGCAGGAGTAACTATGACAGGTTTTTTAAAAACTTCTCCACATGTAGTGCAAATGGGAGAGGTCGCTCCCCTGAGTCTTTGTTAAATGTCAGAAGAGTTGAGTGACAGGAGACTTTGGTAGTAAAGTCCGCACAGAACAATGACATCAACTGCTGAGACCTCCAGAAGACTTTGGAAAGGGCTATAGAGGCTAAAAGAAGAAAATGTAGCTAGAGGCTTGAATGGAAGGATATAGTAGTTCTCCCCATGGACCTGTTATGTATGCTGTGCTATAAAGGATCTTGGCCATAGTGTGTTCAGACACTGTGAGTTTAATAACAGCCTCAGCTTGGAGGAAAGTTCTTATCATGCTGGAAACCAGAGGCATTAAGAGCACTCCCAAAGTACACTAGGAGCCAAAAGCAAGCTTCTGCTGCTCTTCTCAGCCCCAAGATGAAAAGAAGGATGGGATTTTTCCGTACTGTTTGAAGTCCTCCCAAATAACTCAGGGTAACTAAGAGATAAAAGCCATCCCTCCGTGTAACTAATCCTATCATTAAACAGAGTTACTTCAAGAAATTGATTTTGGCTACCATAAAAAGGTAGGAAAAGGTTAATCATTTATCACAATACTTTTACTGCCAGAGAAAGGTAAAGGCACTTATGGGTTTTTCTCCCTTGGATGTTCCCTCCCCACTCAAACCCAATAAAAGTTCTGCAGAAGGGTAGATACTTGTTATGTTTACAAAAGGGTGTTCAAGAAGGTGAGTATCTCGATGGACTTACCACGAACACCCAGGTTGTAAGAAGACCAAAGAAGCTGATGCTGCAACATCACAAACAAGAAGAACTCCCCAGCAACCATATTATAAAGTTGAAAGTGATCATGACGTAAAATTATGGGTGTGGGGAGGGGGGTGGGAGTGAAGGGTGCTGCTCTTACCTTGGTTGGGATTGTTAAAATGGTTGTAATACTGAGACACATAAGTCATGATGCTGAGGCAGTCGGGGACCTTCATGGAGACCATGTCGCTGGGATCCAGCAGGGCAGGGATCCCCAGCTCCTGCTCGGCCACTTCAAATGCCTGCAGAAGCAACAGGAGGGAAACTGCTCAGAAGCTGAGGTTGGCACAGTATATCAAAACCACAGGTTGGAAAGAGTCTTTTTTTAAAACTAAAATCCCAGAACCCACTCCCAGCTAGCATGCCTCCCCTAATCTACAAAAGGAGGATTGCTGAAGCTCTGAAAATATGGGAAATCATAGAAGACTTAACAATAAAGAATAGCAGCCTTGTGACAGACATTATTATGTTAGTCTGTCTTTCTGCCACCTATTTCCTGTTTATTTATTTATTTCGTATCAAAAGCATTGCATAGATCAGTATAAAATTGATAAATATAGGAGAACAAGCACAACACACCCTGTTGACTGTATCTGAAATACGTATCCAAAGAACACTGATATCTATAACAAATAGCAAAACGGAAGTTGTAAACTGTTACAAACAACCGTGCTGTGCAGTTCTTAACTATGTTTGCTGGTATAATCTGAAAATAAATCACTGAAAATAAAACACATAAAGTACAAGCCTCAATGATACTCTGTTTACTCCCTCCAGAATTTACTTGTTCAGTCAGTTTTAATTTCACTCTTCCGTATGACATAATAAGCAACTGTTAGATATATAAAGGAAATAAACAACGTTTCTGAAACAACAAACTAAATGCTTGAAATGTCCTTTAGAAGTAACCCAACCTCGCTGCGGAGGTTGCTCATGCAGACAAAGTTTTTATCTTCACTCTTCCATGTAATCTTTTAAACAGTTGGTAAATGTTGAAAAAATATGTGCACTGTCTCTGAAGCAATAAACTAAACACTAAAATTGTCCTTGGGAAAGTAAAATAACGTCTGATAAAAATAGAAGCACAAGCACAACACACCCTATTGACTGTATCTGAAATAGGACCAGGACAACTTTCCTTCCATTCTTTGTATAAAGAGGTTATCCTTTTTGACAAATCTCTCAGGTCAGCACTCATTCCCCAAGTATCCCTGTTGGCTTCCTTTTTGAACCTTCAACACAGACTTCCAGCTTTTGAAACTTGCAGAGCTTATACAGAAAAGGGCAGGCTGCAAGTGTCAAATACAGATAGGTCCTTCTGCAGTCCTTCTAGTGGACTTCCTCTCTGCAGAACAAACATTAGAAGACTTGTCCTCTTAATGCCTGGCATCTCTAAAGAGTATCAGTTTACATACTGTGGCTATGTCCACTATGATTTTGCATATTTTGTTGTGACCTCCCCTTGACATTCTTTTTATCCCGAAAAGTGCCGACTTTATGCAAAGGAATAGTTTCTCCCTATCAGCAAGATAATGTAAAATGGTGTCAATTTTCCATATGAGCTCCCACTTTCCATATGAGCTCCCTTCTACCTAAGACAAATGGGGTTGATGTTGGACTTCTAGGTGCTACTTTACTTTTAATTGCAAGGCTTTAATCTGCAACTAGGTCCTCATGCAAGAGACACACTCTTCGAACTGAGAAATTTGTTTTGAAGATCAAAAATGAAGGAAGCTCTTAGCCTTTCCCTACAATATTGACTACTAATATCAATATCAGTCCCAGCGTTCTTTATTTCAGTAGTTTAATTGGGGAGAGGGCAGTGTGTGTGTTGCTGCCATTATTAAACATTTGGGAATCAGAAATCTTTACCAATCTAGTTCAAATCAATTCGAGAACGTCCAATAGAATTAGATGCACCTCCTGCCCAGTCCACAACTAAGACATGCAAAGCAATCTAAAGAGTTTCATTCACATTGCAACCCTACTTCAGAGAAAGCAAGGAACTGTGTTGGGTGGGCTGTAAAGATATTGGTTGAGAAGACTAGTACACCTTTGCCCCAGCCACAATCTACTGATTCCCTGTTATGCTTAAAACCTGCACACAGAAACTGTTCCCCATGGAGGAGTAATGTAGCTGGACACTAGTCTAGCCAGGAATTGGAAAATTGAAGCATGAGGTTAATTTTCTGATTGTCCCTGAAAGTTCACAAAGTGGCCATGCACTAGTCACCAACTCTCAGTCAACTCTGAGATACAAAATATAAGAATCGCTATAAAATGTCCCATGCTTCATAGTTCCTCATCTTCCTTTCCTGACCCCCATTTCTGTCAAATGCTCTTTCAAATTTATGCGGGGGGTGGGGGGGGGGTGTTGTTGTTAGAAAACACTGTGTAAATGAAAAACACTTCAAGTGAGAACAGGTTAGTAGAAAGGCAGTATATGTGTCAATACAGAGTGGATGAAACAACATTACTAAAACAAACAGATTTTTTCCAGTCATAAATCATTGCCGGGATGAAGAAAGGAGTGGAAGTAAGAGAGATGACAGTGCTCCATTTGCTTCTAGCAGTAGCTCATTAGAAAGCATGCCGGACTGTGAGCAATTCTCAGCTGCTCCATAGACTCACCAGGTGACCTTGGGTGAGTCATTTTCCTATGTTTTTGTGGATGTCAGCAATTAAACTGATGTTAAATTGCATATCATATTGTAAGACAGATAAAAATATTTTAATCCTGTTTTTCTGTAAGTCAAAAGTCAGTACAGAATAGTGGTTAGAGTGCTTGTCTGGAATTTGAAATTTAGGTTGCAATCCCCATGGATTCATAAAATTCTCTCTCAGATTGAGCTGCCTCAAAAATTTGGCTGTGAATGCAGTGGATGACTGCCAAATATGGCTACTTCAAACTTGTCACAGCTTGTTTATTTAACTAATAAACAGCAGTTCACCTTCAGTAAAACAAAGACTCAAAAAAACCCTGAAAATTAATGCATTGTTATTATTACAAGATGAAACAGTATTGGGAACGAGATCCTATGAAGACATCAAAAGAATTAGAAATTAGATGCACATTAAACACACATCTATGCAAATAATACATTATGAGAATTGTGGTAGCATAATCTTTATTGCATGGGTGAGACAAAGGAATTTAAAAACACTATTCCACTATAGTTGTGTTAGTACTGATGGTAGATACATATCACATTGAGTACCTTTATTATTGCACCTGTGTTCAGCACAATTTCACTGATTTGCTAATCTATAGTCCCATGATCATACTTTCGCACCATCTAGTAATCCAATCTTCTTGCTCTGTTGCTATTCCTTAATTTTTTAATTGGGAGGAGAAGAATCTTGGTCTTTGCCAACATGTTACTGCTGATGTGCTGGAACAATAGCGACCAAGGTAGGTGACAGGAAAGTTGCAGGATTGGTAACTATTGATAAGTTTTGCCTGTTAACAGCTAGAAATAGGAGAATTATGGGGTGGTGGGAGGCAAACTGACATGAATGGACATGACGTCCTGTAATATGGACCATCATCGAAGGCCTAGCTATATCCTGCTTTGTCTACATTGTGTGATAAAGTCCTTACTTAGACAGCCTCTCAGTTAAGGACTCTGTCAATGTATGTCTCAGTTCTCTCCCACCAGAAAAAAAGTTACCAAAACTTTACATCACAGCTACCCCATCCCTGGCCAGAACTCTGCAATTATATCAGTGCTCCTCTAGCCAGCCAAGATTATTATTTATACTTGTGTGGTATCTTAAATAGGTCATATGGCATCCAACCATGTTATTCTACTGCCATGGCATGCCCGTTTCATTGGGCTGCAAGTTTGGGTCTGCAAATTTGTCATGCAAGCATGAATATACTCATTTTCTATGTTTGAAGAATACCAGCAGAAAGCATGTAAATATTTGCCCTGGAGATCTTAGTGTGCCTTTTTTCTTTTAAAGACAAGAAAGCAATGCTACTGTTTTAATTGTTTTAAACTGTTTTATGTTGTACTGAGCATTGAATTTTGTTATTGTTAACCACTTTGAGTAGCTCGAGGGCTGAGAAAAGCGGTATACAAATATAGTAAATAAAATAATTAATAAATAAAATGCTCCTAGCCACAGAGCTCACATGTGAAAACCAGTGGCACTAACAAAGTTAGTTTAAATTGGGGATTTTGAATATACTCTCAAGTCATTCTCAAATAGTCTTCTAGGAGAGACCTCCAAAAGTCAACAGCTGTTCTGCTCAGGTCTTGCAAACTCATGGCTAACTTGATTGAGTCAATCCATCTATAACAGGGGTCCTCAAACTAAGGCCTGGGGACCAGATATGGCCCTCCAAGGTCATTTACCCAGCCCTCACTCAGGATCAACCTAAGTCTGAAACGACTTGAAAGCGCACAACAACAACAATCTTATCTCATCAGTCAAAAGCAGGCCCACACTTCCCATTGAAATACTAATAAGTTTATATTTGCTAAAATTATTCTTAATTTTAATTATTGTATTGTTTTAAAGTGTTTTTTGAACTACAAATAAGATATGTGCAGTGTGCATAGGAATTCATTCATTCTTTTTTCAAATTATAATCTGGCCCTCAAACAGTTTGAGGGACTGTGACTTGACCCTCTGTTTAAAAAGTTTGAGGACCCCTGATCTATAATAATGTGGTCACACTCCTCCTACTGCCTTCATATTTCTAATGAGTTACTTCATATCACAATATAAATAAAGTACAATATGCTCACCGTCTATTTGTTACTCATTAGTCTCTCTAACAGTGGTTGATTTGGCTTTCATTTCTATAAGTTTGGCTATAGAACACAATTCTCTCAACTTGTCCCAGTCCTAGAGTTTGGAGCACAAACCTGTTTGGACTACTGCTCCAAGAATCCTATAGCCAGCAAAGATCATACTAACCATGGTACTCTAGGAATTATAATAAAAAGTAGCTTTTCCAAATTCTAAAATGCCAGATAATCCCATGTTGGAGACTTTTAATGTTCTGAATCATTGATCTTAATGTCAATGTATTTTTTTTTTAAAAAAACCCTCCAATTTCAATGTTTTAATGTTTTGTACTCCTGGTCTGTGACCATTACAATAAAATTCATTCATACAATGCCATCTCCATTCAAAACACAGATTATCGGAAACATTTGTTCAATTGATGTTTTTGTACTCCCATTAGAGTTTGAATCAATTCTCCACTCAGATTGTATTTAGGATGAATGTGAAGAGACAACCTTTCAGTACAGACTTCAAAACTGCTTTGATCAGGCTGATACTTTTACTTTTATTGTTTTCTGGCTGACTGGAGCACTAGTTTTAGTGGAAAAGTAGAATAAAAATGCAATCAATAAAAATGAACTTAAGAGGAAAAAGGAGCTGCCTTGTTAGTTTATAAAGAATGAATGTCAAACAGGATATTATGCATTGTAGACTTTGGGTGGCATTTAAGAGAGTTCATGTGTAAGTGCAATGAAACATATGTAAGTAACATACAGGAAATAAACTGATTTCCTGTCCTTGAGATGGTTTGACAGTCCCTGACTCAAGTGCATTACTGCATTTGACTCATTGCCCCACATTTATAATTTTATATCACTAAAAATCTCTATTTATACAGGACAAAAACCATTAAATCTGTATCCTTCTAAATAAGGGGAGGGGAGTGCAGAAGCCCTGCTCTATCTTTACCCACTCCAGATGTTGTTCAGGTAAGTCAATGGACTGGTTAAGGAAGAGCTTTTAACAGATGAGTGTTGTACGTTTGTACTAAACAATTATATATTTGTACTAAATATATAATTAATGTAATTACAGTATGTTTCAATATTATAATTTCTGGTGTTTTCACTGATATCTGTTTCTTAATCTTGTTTTAGCCTATGCTATTCTGGTTTGGAGAAATAAATAGTAAATAAATAGTGAATGAATGTAGTAACTAAGAGGAAACATCAAAAGAGGCAAGGAGAACAAGCCCTTTGTAATTTCATTACCATGGGAAAAGAAAATGGATTGAGAAATGTATACTGTAAACATGCAATGGAAGTCAGCTTCAAATATCTGGGTGTCAGTAAGAATTTTCCAGACATACAAACAACCAGGCATGTAGGATTTCTCTCACATTGTTTCCCCATTCAGTGTGAGTGGCATTAGTTGCAAACAGGAAATAAACACAGGTTGAGTAACCCTTAACTAGAAATCCAAAATCCAAATGCTCCAAAATGCAAAACTATCCACATGGATGGTTGGGATAGCAATATTTATTTATTATTTATTACGGTCACTTATACCCCGCCCTTCTCACCCCGAGGGGGACTCAGGGCGGCTTACACAACAAGGCACAATTCGATGCCCGCATTACATGACAACAAAATATAACATCAATAACAATAGCAATTATAACAATGATAACAATTAACCTAAGCAGTCATTATTATCGGCGACACATCCAAAAAACCCATAAAGTAAAAGCAATTAAAGGTTCCGTGTATACAAATTTTGTTTCAAGCATAAAGTATTTTTAAATGATGCATATAATTACCTCCAGGCTATGTGTACAAGCCAAATTTTGTATTTAGACTTCAATCCCATTTCCAAGATATTTAATTAAGTATAGTATATGCCAATGTTCCAAAATCCAAGGAAATTGAAAACACCCAAAACACTTCTCATCCCAAGCATTTTGGATAAGGAATACTCAGTCTGTAAACAAAAATAAAGTGAAAAAATGACTGGTGAAGCCTGAGGCATAGACTTACCAGGCGGTTGTTTTCGTACACATTCTCCTTAGAAAGTGAATTAAAGTCCCTACAAAACAAAATTGAAGATGTCACATGAAGAAAAAGATGTACACGTTAGTGTCTATCAGATCACAATCAAATTTATGAGGTGGCCCCTATTGTTGTTGTTGTTATGTTTATTTATACCCCGCTTTTTATCTCCATAAGGAGACTCAAAGCAGCTTACATTAAAAGCAATTCAATACAATTAAAATCTACAAATATGCAAACATTAAAACAGAATTAAATATCATGGGTATTTTAAAAATTCAGTTAAAATCCATAAATACATATTCAAAACTAAAAACCATAGCAGTCCCTGACTTGATCTTAAAAACCTTCTTCTTTAAAAGCCTGCCTGAATAAAAAGACACTTCAAAGTCATGTTTCGGGGAAGAGAAACTTCAGCTATCTTCAAGAAAAGAAACTCTTCCATTGTGGACACAAAAGGCAGGGAATACAGACAAACCTCAATTACAAGACCACCAATAAAAAGTGATAATTTACAATTAGTACTGAAAGAGTGGAAGGCATTTTAAAAGAAGCTGTTGCTTTACTGTTACTATATTGTACTATAGTGAAATGGTAGGTCACGTATTACCATCATGATTAGCCACCACTGATACTGTATCTAATCTTCTTTTAAATCTGTCCAAGTTGGCAACCATTGTCTAATCCTCTTTTAAATCTGACCAAGTTGGCATCCATCACAACTAGTGCCAGCACACATTGCCCTTTTCACATTGTTTTTTTCTAGGCAGACCATCACCATATAGGAAGACCATGGCTACATAGAAAGTTAACATGCTTATTTTAGGCTATGACAGTCATGAACTAAATGCAAGCCTATGAGCTTCTTTCAACTTCCAGAAATCCTATCAGCCAGTACACTGTCTGGGATTTATGGGAGTTCTAGACAAAAACATCTGGGGACCTACAGATTGAGAACCACTGGATTAGACAGATGTTTGAATGGATCCAGCATGACTCTTCTTGTGATAAGACAAACTGAATCCTTGAGAAGTATATGTATAATTTTAATGCATGGTAGCTACATTTTTATAGTTCACAGCAAGCATTGTAGGATGCATACATGTTTGAACTAGTTTTCAAATCATTCCAAAACCTGTAGGGAAACCAGAAGATCCGAAACTAGTTTCCCAAGATGTCATGATGTACATAACTTCACTCATCACATGTCTGAGACCCTCCTCATAACACAGATTCCTGGACTTCTTCATCTACAGAACGGCTTCTCGATAATAAGTCCAATTCAGTAAAAAAGAACTGGGAAACAATGATAACATGAAAAAGTAGAACACTAGGAAGGAAACTTCAAAGGGGAGTGCATGGGAAAACATGTCATTTAACACCTTGTATGCAAATAGTATGTTTCACAAACATAAAATGATCCCATTCATTGGTACAATACCACCTATTGCCTGACAAATACAGCCATCTGGGGTTAGGGGCAGAAGGCCTCAGTGAAAGTGAAAAACAATGAAAAAGGGAATCTAGAAACTCCTAGGTTTTTCAGCATGACTCTATATCAATTTCTACTGGAAACTGACCACAGAATCGCATCGGAGGATCTTGAGATTCCTAGAGAGATGTTCTCTCTAGAAATTTCTAAGTACTCAGCATGACTGAAGGACTATGACTGTAGAGTTACACTAGAAGACCTAAAGATTCCATGAAAGAACATTTAAATCCAATCCTTGAAAAGGAAGAAAATTAGCAACCTAGTACATAGTTTGTAGATGTCTGGTGCATATATCATGGTTGGTTATGATGGCATCTGTTCAAATATCAGGAGTTGTTTTCTTAACATAACCTTTAATTAACCATGAGCGCTACCATTTGGAAGAGGTTTTGGTGTTCAACTAGGATTCTAGAGATGGGGGTTTAAGGGTTATGGGATCACTAGATGACCTTGGACAAACCGAATGCTCTCAGCCTCAGAGGAAGGCAAAGTTTAGATGCTAGGAAGAGTTAAATACACAAAGTTCTGATGTTATACTAACTGAGAAATTTGAGGACTTGTAGTCCAAAAAATTAACTTTTCTATGATCTGTTTGTCGTTTAGGCAACTTGCTTATTTTCTCTCAGGTTTAGCTGGAGAACAGCATAAGCCACAAAGAACCTTGAAACTGCAGCTTTTTCACTGTCTCAAGCACAGAGTTAATCTGTGTTGCTTTATAGATATAATTTAGAAAGGTCTGTTTTTGATCTGGCAAAGGAGTGATTTTTGACATTTTTTCCAACTTTGATTTTTTGGTTTCAGAATCAGGGCATACTGAAGTGATTAATAATGATTCAAAATATCCCTTAAATGTTCCCTGGAAAATCCTCTCTTAAGGTGCCATGTCCTTGTAAGGTCCTATGGTGTCAAGCTTACTATACACTGTGCTCCACTTAACTGTGAAGTGCTTAGTTAGACCATCTGCTAGAAATGAGATTTATGTCCTGGATATTTAACAGCAGCGACTTCTGCTTAATGGGATAGTCATTATGTTTCAAGGAGAGAGGTTTTTTTCTCTGCCAAAAGCAGCTCTTTTGAGCTTTTTGTCTTCAGTGGCGGCTTAGGCCATGTGCTCTTCTAACAGCTGTTTTTTTTTGCCTTGGGTAGCTATCACATACATTTTAAAAGTGCATGTAAAGTCTACAGTTCCCACAAACATTTGTTGCTCCTCATCAATGCCACATTGTAGTTGACTGCTGCTACATTTGTAGCAAGAACTCACTTGTGTGAAGAGGAGGTGGTGATCTAAATCATCCCCAGAGCGATCCAGCATTTGCCACATCAGATTGACCCCAGTATAAGTGGTCAGTGTAGGACCTGAGGACAACTGTCTCATTTTCCCATCGTGTCTCTGATTCAAAATATAATATATTCCCATCCTAACAGCCACTGATGGTCCTAACCTTCCTGAATTTACCTAATCCAATCTTAAAGCCACTGAAGTTAGAAGTCATTGTGATACCATGCAGCAGCAAATGTTATTTTGTATATGCTGAGCAAAGAAGTGCTTCTTTTTACCTGGCCTACTGAATCTCCCATCACTTCACTTCCTTGGATAACGATAGGCTCTGGTATTATCATGGAGAGAGAAAAACTCTCATCTACCTCCTTTTGCCAATGCATCTGGCAGTTAGCAAGTTAGATCATCAGATACTGTGTATGCCTGCTTGAATTTTGTCCATGTTGCACATTTTTCAACTGAAAGAGGATGAGGATGAATATCATCACACATAATTTGCCTTTAGAAAATGCAGCTCAAGGGCATTCACACACATGATCTCAGGAACCCAAATCTGCATTATTCATACCAGTTGCAGAGAGGGAAGAGGCTAAAGATAAGCAAGATAGTGGCTTCCTAAAGGCAATTTCTCATGCCTTTGTTAATCAGAACAAAACTCCATCCAAGCTAGGGATGGCTAGCTTGTATATTACCAGATGTTTCTCAACTCAACCTCTCTGTGCTGGCTAGGGATAATGAGAATCGCAATCAGAAAAGTCAGGATGGTTACATGATAAATGTCCCTCATCTATGTCCTGTATTACTGTGTTTCACAGTAATCACCAAAATGTCCCAAGATACAGACATAATCGTCAAATTGTTTACATCAGCTTCCAACTTATACCTCTTGAATAGGGTACATCTACACTGTAAAATTAATGCAGTTTGACATCACTTTACCTGCCATGGCTCAATGCTATGGAATCAAGGTGTAGTTCTACAAGGTTCTTAGCCTTGTCTATCAAAGAGCAGTGGAGCTTCACCAAACTATAAATCGTGAGATTCCAGAACATTGAGCCATGGCAGGGAAAGTGATGTCAAATTGTATTAATTCTACACTGTAGATGCACTCTCTGTCTGGGTCCAAGGAACGTCTGCCTGACACATCTGAAGAGCACTGAGTTGCCTGAGGCTAGCCTATAACGTGTACAATAATGGTGTACTCAATACAATTTTATGTTTAGCTATTAATGTGAATGGCTCATCCATTTAAAAAGCTATCTAAGTCAGAAAGCTTCCACCGAGCAGAAAATGTAACTAAATGATCTCCAATGTTCCTTTCATCTCTAAGTTCTGTAATTCTATTGCTGGGGGAGGATAATGGATCTGGAAGAAGATAGATGTACAGTAATTATTTGCAATATTCATTTATTTCTATATTGTTCACGCAATACCTCTGCATGTGGACATTCTTGGAGCCAAGATAATGATGCTTTCCAGAAACTGGGCCAGTTTTTCCACCCAGGCAATTAATCCAATCACAAGGAAGCAATAACCATATGCAACCTTCCACGGCAACACAGACAACAGAAGTCATTGAAAGATGCTAACTGGGTCACACTAATTTATCCCTTGTCCTTGTCAGGGGACGTTCCCTACTGATGCATTATATTCTCTGGTGCTTTGTTCACACGTCATATTTATAAATAGCAACAAGGAAAGGAGGAAGAGGCTCAGTGACTGAGATAAGGCAGGAAACTCTCAAAATAACATTAGGAAAAACCTTGAATCTTTACATGGAAATATGAATCTGAAAATAGTACCGTAACAGTAATACTTGGTAGTGCTAAATAATCTGGGTCTGTTAGAGATAGTTTCTTAAAGTGCATCGATGCAGAATTAATGCAGTTTGACATCACTTTAACTGCCATGGCCCAATGCTATGGGATCCTGAGATTTGTAGTTTGATGAGGCACCAGCACTCTTTCTCAGAGAAAGTTAAACACCTTGTAAAATTACAACTCCTACAGTTCCATGGCATTGAGCCCTGGCAGTTCAAGTGGTGTCAAACTGCTTTAATTTTACACTGTAGATGCACCCTTTGTATCCTCTGATAACAAGCTGGCTGGTCACACTGACTAGGATCAGATGATCAAATCAGCCATCAAAACCATTGTTTAGCACCTGTGATTCTATTAACATGATCCTGTTGCAAGATGTGCACCAGTTGATGCCCTGAGGTCCAAAGAAGCAAGATGAATGACTAAATTAGCTAAAATCCTGACCATTACACACCCAACATCACAGAATTAGACCCAAATATATATCCATCAAAATATAAAGTTAGGGATGAACTTTGATTTTTACAATATAACCAAAACAGGGGGATTAGTAAGTGGTCTGAGAGCCAGCATCGTGCAGTGGTTTGAGTTTTGGACTAGGATTGTAATCAGGGTTCGAATCCCTGTTCAGTTATGGAAACCCATTCAGTGACCATAAGTAAGTTAGACTCTCTCAACCTAAGAGGAAGACAAGGCCAAGCCCTCTTTGAGGCCCCTTCTACACTGCCATATAATCCAGATCATTAAAACAGATGGTCCACATTATCTGCTTTGAACTGGATTAAATGAGTCTACACTGCTTCATAATCCAGTTCAAAGCAGATCGTCTGAATTTTATATGGCAGTATAGAAAGGGCCTGAGCCAATGTTTCCAAGAAAGACCTGTCGGAGATCGGCTTTAGGGTCAATGTAAATTGGAAAGGATATTAAGGCACACAACAACAAAAACAATAACACCTATTACTGAAACTCTTCACAATTTCCAAGAAAAGAAAATGTTTGGACTGCAGGCAAAACATTGCCCTTTCTTAAATCAGTTCTATTTGCAGAACCTCTAATTACACTGTGGGAGAACTGTGAAATAGAAACTGGCTTATCATACAAAACCTCTTTCAGTGTCCCTCCACATTTTGCTGCAATCTTTTAAGGAATCTAGAGTCCTCCTTATTGCTAATTAATGGCTGTGGAGTAGAAAGGTGTGGCTAGGGGTACATCTCTACACTGTGGAATGAATGCAGTTTGATGTCACTTTACACGCTATGGCTCAAAGCTATGGAATCCTGTGGGTGGTAGATTTACAAGGTCTTGTCTGGCAAAATGTGCTACTGCATTCAGCCATGGCAGTTAAAGTGATGCCGAACTGCATTAATTCTATAGCATAGAGCAGGCTGTTAGGAATTGTAGGGGTTGAAGTCCAAAACACCTGGAGGGCCCAAGTTTGCCCAGGCCAGGATACACCCTAGATACACTTCAGGTGTTTTGGTCTACCGACTGTTAGGAATTGTGGGAGTTTAAATCCAAAACACTTGGTGGGCTGAAGTTTGCCCAAACCTGGATACACTTGAGGTGTTTTGGACTACCGGTTATTAGGAATTGTGGGAGTTAAAGTCCAAAACACCTGGAGGGCCAAGTTTGCCCATGCCTGGATACACCCTGAATATACTCCTGGTGTTTTGGACTACTGGCTGTTAGGAATTATGGGAGTTGAAGTCCAAAACACCTGCAGGGTCCAAGCTTGCCCATGCCTGGATACACCCTGGATATACTTCAGGTGTTTTGGACTACCGGTTATTAGGAATTGTGGGAGTTAAAGTCCAAAACACTTGGAGGACCCAAGTTTGCCCAGGCCTGGATACACCCTAGATACCCTCCAGGTGTTTTGGACTACTGGTTGTTAGGAATTGTGGGAGCTGAAGTCCAAAACACCTGGAAGGCCCAAGTTTGCCCAGGCCTGGATACACCCTGGATATACTCCAGGTGTTTTGGACTACCGGCTATTAGGAGTTTTGGGAGTTAAAGTCCAAAACACCTGGAGGGCCCAAGTTTGCCCAGGCCTTGATACACCCTAGACACCCTCCATGTGTTTTGGACTACCGGCTGTTTGGGATTATGGGAGCTGAAGTCCAAAACACCTGGAGGGTCCAAGTTTGCCCAGGCCTGGATACACCCTAGATACCCTCTAGGTGTTTTGGACTACTGGCTGTTAGGAATTGTGGGAGTTGAAGTCCAAAACTGCCAGAGGGCCCAAGTTTGCCAAGGCCTGGATGCACTCTAGATATACTCCAGGTGTTTTGGACTACTGGCTGTTAGGAATTCTGGGAGTTAAAGTCCAAAACACCTGGAGGGCCCAAGTTTGCCCAGGCCTCGATACACCCTGGATATACTCCAGGTGTTTTAGACAACTGGCTGTTAGGAATTATGGGAGTTGAAGTCCAAAACACCTGGAAGGCCCAAGTTTGCCCAGGCATAGATACACTTCAGGTGTTTTGGACTACTGGCTGTTAGGAATTGTGGGAGTTGTAGTCCAAAACACCTGGAGGGCTGAAGTTTGTCCATGTCTGGATACACCTTGGGTCCTGGCAGAAATATTAGGGCTTCTGGGAGCTGAAGTCCAAAACACCTGAAGGACCAAAGCTTCAACACAATATCACACTTTAGGGCTGCCTAATAAATAGGAATATCTCGTTTCTCTCTTCTTAATTCCTCTTGGGAGAGTTTCCCAAACTCCAAAGGACTTCAACTCCCAGAAGGCTCGGCTGCTCCAACCAACGATGGAGGATTCTGGGACCTGGAGTCTAAGACACCTATGTAGGGCTGCACCTTTCCCCCTTTGCCTCACGAATAGGGTCCCCTTCCTTCTCCCTCAGCCCTCTCAGAGGAGCAACTGCTTGCCGAAGAAGCTGCCCCCAGCGCCGGCCGTTCCGTCTAAGCGAGCCCGGGGCTTCTGTTGGGGCCTAGTGGCGGAATGGATGAACTCACAGCAAGTCGGGCCGGTGCCGGTGGAGGATGGCGCAGAAGGCGAGTCCGTCGCGGAAGGAGCTGCTGAGGTCCCGGACCTCGACGCCGGGGTAGCCCTCGCACTGGCGGCGGCACCAGGCCTGCAAGGCGCTGCGCGGGCCCGACATGGACTCCTCCAGCCTCCTCAGCGCTTCTCCTGGCTCTCCTCCTCCTCTTCTCTTCTCCGCTACTCCCGGAGGGAGGCTCCCTCTCCTCCCGCCCAGGAAGGGCGCCGCGGGGCTCTGCTCAGACCTGTCCCGCCGGCGGACGCGGAGCCTCCCTCTCCGCCCATCGCCGGGAGCGGCAGAGCAGCGCTCCTCTGCGGAGGAGGCTTAGTCATATCACAGGAGGAGGAGGAGGAGAGGGAGCCAGCTGGGGAGAGGGAGCAGCAGGCCCACTTCACTTCAGTGTGGGTTATTTATTTTTATATTCATGCTATTTGACATGTTGTTACATTTGACATGTTGTTAAATACTAAACAAAGGTGTGTGTATGTATATACACACATCAGGCCTGGGCAAACTTGGGTCCTCCAGGTGTTTTGGACTTCAACTCCCACAATTCCGAATTGTGGGAGTTGAAGTCCAAAACACCTGGAGGGCCCAAGTTTGCCCAGGCCTGATATACATACGCACATACATTAATACATACATATATACATATGCATCAAGAGGGATAGGAAGTTCGGGATCAGGATACCAAGCATGGGCAAACTTGGGCCCTTCCAGGTGTTTCGGATTTCCACTCCCACAATTCCCATCAGCCTACCCGCTGCCATGTACAGGTGGATTCCAATAGGCTTGTGCATTTCAGCCGAATTATTTATTTATTTATATTTATTTATTTACTGCAGTAGTTCCCAACCTTTTTTAAGCAGGGACAACATTGACCTGCTTTGGCCAGGGACCGCTTTGACCACGGACCTCATGAACAGGGTCTGCATTGACCAGGGACCACTTTGTCCAACGACCTCTTTGACCAGGGACCACATTGACCAGGGACTGCTTTGACCAAGGACCACTTGACCAGGGACCTCTTTGACCAGAGATGCATTGACCAGGGACCTCTTCACCAGGGACCACTTTGACCAACCACTTTGACCAGGGACCGCTTTGACCAGGGAGCACTTAAACAGGGACCTCTTTGACCAGGGACCACTTTACCAGGGACTGCATTGACCAGGGACCCCTTCACCAGGGACCACTTGTCCAGGGACCACATGAACAGGGACTACATTGACCAGGAACCACTTGAACAGGGAGCACGTGACCAGGGAGCACATGACCAAGGACCTCTTTGACCAAGGACCACTTGAACATGGCAATTTAAGCTTTGACAAACTGTATTACTACTGCAGCAGGTAAACCTACCGTGGTTAACTGCCACCCATTCCACACAGAGCCCTTGCCTCACATCACTCAATTTCCTCGTTGATCAAAGGAAGTGCCCCTTATTGTGCTTGTGAATGGTCCTCAATGTGACTTTGACCTTACTGCCACTCCATAAATAAAATTCCTGGGTGTTGTAGTTGGGTGAAGCACCAGCACTCTTTTGTGGAGGCTAAAGACCTATTACAACTACACCTCCCAGGATTGGGGAGCATGGAGCCATGGCAGTTAAATCAGCACCAGACTGTATTAATTCTACAGTTGTTGCTGTCATTAACTGCCATCCAGTTGACACATGGGCCTAACCAGTAAAGGGATGTGCAGGTCACGTATTGCACTTGTTAATGGCCCTAAAGTTGACTTATTATGGCAACCCCATTCATGAAGGACCTCCAAATTGCCCTGTCATCAGCTCAGGTCTGGCAGACACAGGGCTGTGGCTCCCTTGATTGAGTCTATCCATCTGCCGTGTGGCCTTCCCTTCTTCCCACTGCCTTCTACCTTGCCAGATATTATTGCCTTTTCTAGTGAGTCATGTCTTCTCATGATATGGCCAAAGAAGGACAGCCTCAGTAGAGTCATCTTGGCTGCTATGATCAACTAAGGGAGCAAGGTGCTTTGAATGCAATTTCCCTTCTTCTTGGCAGGGGGTTGGACTGGATGGTCCACGAGGTCTCTTCCAATTCTGTGATTCTATGATTCTATAAAGCAGTCTGCTATTGCTCTCAGATCCTGAGACCTAACTAGCCATAGGATTCATTGCAGCAGGACTACTCTCCTTTTAATTCTATTTATATAGCACCATCACTGTGCTTTTGCTGTCTGCCTTTGAGTCATTTCCAACCCTAAGGTGACCCTATCTTAGGTTTTTTTTTTCTGAAAAAGGTTTGTTCAGAAGAGGTTTGACATTGCCGTCTTCCAAGGCTCAGAGAGAATGACTTACCCAAGGTCACTCAGACGGTTTCATGGCTGAGTATGAATTTGAACTCTGGTCTCCAGCGTCCAATGCTTAAACCACTGCACAATGTGACACTTTCCAAGTGCAATAAAAGTGTCCCACCCTTCGGCTTGGGAATCAAATTTAGGCATGACAGTTCTGGGCCTAAGCAGTCTGCTTATTATCGCCTTCCAATACATGGATGAATGCTTCATCAGATCCAACATGGGATGTTGGTGTACGCAACTCTTATGATCACTTCCAACTATAGCAGTGGTCCTCAACCTGTGGGTTCCCAGGTGTTTTGGCCTACAACTCCTAGAAATCCCAGCCAGTTTAGCAACTGTTAGGATTTCTGGGAGTTGAAGGCCAAAACATCTGGGGACCCACAGGTTGAGAACCACTGAACTACAGTGGCCCCTTGGTGCTTGTTAGGGTTTGGTTCCAGGACCTTCCATGGATATCAAAACCATAGATGCTCAAGTCTCCTTATATAATGGCATAGTAATATGCTAAAATCAAGGTTTGCTTTTTGGAATTTAAAAAATGTTGAATCTTTTGATATAGAAGGACAATTGTATATGACTGTATTCTTTACCTAAGATCCATATTAATTCCTACCCTAGACCTTTTTTCTTGCAACAATGTGTGGTTAGCATTTCACCCTTTGTTCTCACACATACCCAGGTCCTGACCAAGAAATGCAAATAATTAGCAAGCCTTCGGAATCTATTTTACTTTATTGGAATTAACTGTATTATGTTTGTTTTATAAATGCGATAACTGCATACCTGTTAGACGACTTGTGTTGTGTAGAAGTTGCCTAGCAACTTGCATGTTTACCAGCCATCAATGCGGAAAGGTAAGAGGAAAGTAACTGATAGAAACATGGAGGATGGGAATAGAACTTGTAAGAGCTGTGTCACAATTAACAGTGTAAAACTAGAACACATTAATTTGGAAGGTAACAAGGCCGTATCAGTATTAGTTTTCTTCAAATTTCATACACAGTAACCTTTTCCTTTGTAGTTTATTGAGTAAAATTTACATTTTAGTTCAAAAAATATATTGTTTTGGGAAGTTGTGTAGTGTGATCAAGTTGACAGAGTGTATAGTGGTTTGAATGTTGGACTACGAGTGCATCTACACCATTGAATTAATGCATCTTGACACCACTTTAACTGGCATGGCTCAATACTATGAAATCTGGGAGCTATAGTTTGGTGAGGCACTAGCTCTCTTTGGCAGAGAAGGCTAAAAGACTTGTAAAACTATTTCTATGATTCTATATCATTAATTTTACAGTGTAGGGGCACCCTATGACTCTAGAGACCAGGATTCAAATTCCCATGTGGCCATGAAAACCCCAATGGATGACCACGGGCAAGTCGCACATTCTCAGTCCCAGAAAATCCTGTGATGAGATCACAACAAATCAGAAACAATTTAAAGGTACACAACAACAACTAGGGATGGGGGGCTCCTTCTGCTGTATTCTAGTGAGCATTGACCTTGTGTTTTGGAGTTGTAGTTACAGTTCACCTACATACAGAGAGAACTGTGGACTCAAACAATTATGGATCTGGATCAAACTTGGCACAAATACTCAATATGCCCAAATGTGGACACTGGTGGAGTTTGGGGGAAATAGGCCTTGACATTTGGGAGTTGTAGTTGCTGTGATGTATAGTTCAAGTACAATCAAAGAGTTTTCTGAATCACTCAAACAATAGAATTGGGCCAAACTTCCCACACAGGACCCAATGATCAACAGAAAATACTGTATTTTCTGATGGTCTTTGGTGACCCCTCTGACACCCCCTCAAGACCCTCCCCCCCCCCCCCCCCCCGCAGGGGTCCCAACTCCCAAGTTGAGAAAAACTGGATTAGAGTATGTAAAATGCTAGGGCCCCCTCATGGTGCAGCAGGTTAAACCACTGAGCTGATGCACTTGCTAACCGAAAGGTTGGAGATTCGAATCCAGGGAGTGGGGTGAGCTCCTGCTGTTAGCCCCAGCTTCTGACAACGTAGCAGTTCTAAAACATGCAAATGTGAGCAGATCAATAGGTACTGCTTCTCCAAGAAGGTAAGCGTGCGCCATGCAGTTATGCTGGCCACATGACCTTGGAGGCATCTACGGACAACGCTGGCTCTTCGGCTTCAAAATAGAGATGTGCACCCCCACCTGCCCAGAATCGGACACGATTAGACGTAATGTCAGGGGAAACCTTTACCTTTTATGTAAAATGCTGGTATGTATAAGCTGTATTAAGATGTTAAAAATCTGTTTATGTTTTGTCTTAAATATCATGTACTTTCCTGACCTAGATATGGGCTCTTTATTTTCTTATTTTTTTGAAAAATTGTTAATTGTATATTCCGATTTTAAAAAAAGCAAAGACTTGCAAATAAATAAATAATAAACAGACAAGCACTCCCATAAAATTACTGTACCAATTCAGTGGCTTTGGAATGCACACCTTGTCCATTCTCCCAGGAACCCAAGATAAATACCGGTTAAACCGGAGAAACTGGAAAGAGGAGTTATGCAAAGTAGATGTGTGCTTCAGTAGCACTGTTCTATGTGCGACTTAAGGCAACTCCATTAATTTCATAGGGTTTTTTATGTAAGGAATACTCAGTGGTGGTTTTGATACTTCCTCTGTCTGAAATACAGAATTATAGCATCTGGCATTCTTTGACAGTTTCTTTTCCAAATGTTAACCAGGGCTGATCATGCTTAGCTTCCAAGATCAGACAGGATCTGGTACCTTTAGGGTATTTGGACCCTACTGTCCCACTAATGCTGGTCCAAGATGCAAAGTTCATGTGTGTATAGACATCCCTTATTAATGCTGCAATTAAAAAACTTTGCAATAAGCAACGACCTATAGAAAGCAGCAGTATTTTCTAAAAGCAGCATATACAATGAGGCCATTGTGGTCTCCACAGTTGAAAGGGCAGGGGTGGGTGAAGAGTATGGCTGGAAGCTGGGCAAGTCAAACTATGACAT